ATAGGGAAGGGTGGAGGGGGTGAAGGGAGGGCTAGGAATGGGGAAAAAATAAGAACAAAGATGCATCATGTAAAGGTACAAGTTCCCAATGAGAAATGTAAATGTATTGTATACCTAAAATGTATCAATAAAAGAATTAAAAAAAAATTATTCTCAAGGGCTAATAATAAAAAAAGACTAAAAAACAGGAAACATGACAAATCGCTATTATCCTTTATTTAAAAATTATAGAAGAAAATTGCTTTTTAAAAAAATCACTTTGGACGAGTTTGATCCCTGGTACCAAAAAAAATCACTTTGGATACAGATATACAGAAATGTATACACCAGTATATATATATATGTGTGTGTATATATATATGCATATATATATATGTATATATATACATATATATATATACTGAGAAATAAAAGGCAATTCTTATTTCTTTGTGAGTTTAGAGGTGGCTGATGATATAAAGGATGAGATCCTAGAATTCAAGTTTATGCTGTAAACAAGATACACCTAGAGAGGCGGTGGGGGGGGGAGTTAAATGAATTTTGCATGTGAGAGGAATATAAATAATTACAGACAAAGGGTGTTTAAAATAAGGTGAATGTTTAAATTTTTAAAAATTATTACAGTAAAGTCACATTGATATTAATTCTTCTCAAAATACTCCCTTCTTGTTTGAACACACTTACCTCATCGTTCTTGCCAATTTCTGAAGTAGTTCTGGAAGTCTTCTGTGAGTGTCTTTATGAGACATGCTGAAAAATTTGGTGAATGCTGCTGCCCAGTGCCATCTAACAGAAAGGCAAGCTCATAAAAACATCATGGTGTGTCCTCCTCCACTTTATTCACCTGATCTAGCACAGTGTGACTTCCGGCTTTTTCCCAAAGTCAAAATGACCATGCAAGGTAAACTCTGAATCAATCCAGGACATTGAGGCAGCCACAACAGCGCAACTAAAGACACTCATGAAAAAGCACTTACAGAGCTACTTCAGAAAGGGGCAAGAATGATGGGATGACTGTGTTTAAAGTGAGGAACATTTGAGAGGGATTAATGGCAAAGTATCTTTTATTGTAATGTCTTAAAAAATTAAACACACACTGTATTTTTTTAATCATATCTCCTATTATGGTAGACTGTATTTTCCAAAAATGGCTGTTACATTTATTGAATCATATATATTCTTCTTATTGTGTGATAGTGAGGCTCCAGGAATCTAGCAATGTGGATTATTTCTTCTCCTGTTTGTTGAACCTAGAGGGAACTCTGTGATTGCCTTAATCAAAATTGTTCCACCTAAGTGACATTATACGATTTTAGAAGTTAGGCTGGAGAAATGCCATACACTTGCACCTTGCTATCCTAGGAAACTCACTCTTGGAACTCAACTGCATCTTGAGAAAGTAGGTCACATGAAGAGACCAGATGCTGTTGTTCTGATCAACAACCCCATCTGAGGTCCCACTTGATAAGTAACAAGCACTAAACATGTGCAAATACCTTTGAAATGACTGAGTCCCAGCCACTGTTTGACTACAGCCTTATAAGGCCGAAGTAAAATTCCATAATTGATCTTAGTCAACCCTCTAAACTCTGAGAAATAGAAATAAAGCAGCTGTGGTTGCTTTAAGCTACATGTCTTGGTATGTCATTACATGACAGAAGGTAAGAGGCACAATGTCTAATTAAACACCAAGCCCTGTCAATCTTGACCTTTAAATGCTAAAATGCTGACCCCTAATATCCATCAGCATCTTTCTTCACATTTCTAGTTGTCCGTAAGATCACCTAAAATACTTATGTTACAGGTTGCTCACATGGACCTTCTCAGAAGGAAAGAACATGTCTTTATTCCCAAAATCTAGCAAAGTGCTTGGTATATAGTAAATCCTTGGAAAACGATGGTAAATCATAAAAGTTGATGATGAATTACTAAAGGTTCATAGTAAAAACAGTGATTTGATTACAAATTCAAAAAACACTTATTAGATAAAGTGGAAAAGCTTGTTCTACTTACATTGCATAAGGCACCATAGCGAAGAATAGATAGTAAAGAATGTACATGACTTTCACTGGTAAAATATAATCTGGTACGGACATGACGTTCAGGAGATAGAACACCTCTGGAATACCTAAAGTTAGAAGTACACAGTATTAAAACATAGCCATATAATAAAAACTTCTTAAATATAGAAATTACTTCGTAAAATAGAATTTAATCTTCCTAGAGGTAAAAGTCCCTAATAAATAAACCTACCATTCTTCTAGCCACAACTCCATAAATGAGGAGTAACTTTCACAACTGAGGAGATACTATATTTTGATAGATTCTTCTAACATGAAGTTAGTTGGAACTAACTAGGTCCTCAGAGATTAGTCAAAGAGCAATAAACTTAGTATTATTCAAGTTAACTCTAAAGAGGTTATTTTAGCTCCTCCAGTAGTGGTGATAGAGGCTGTAGACCTAAAGTTACTCTCAAACATTTATACAGCTGAATAAGGCGCACTATGTAAGTGATGACACATATCCCCTCTTCCCCTGTCACCTCTGTTTTTCTCAAATTGGTGCCAAAAGCAGTCTTGGCTGGAAGTTAATAGCAATGTCTAGATAATCCTATTTCCACAAAATATTAAGTGATACACTCCTGATTTCTTCATAGGAACATCAAAAAATAATTTAGATTTAAAGTATGCAAAAAAAAAAAAGAACCCTATAGACTTAAACAACTAGTACAGTCTCTTACACAGGATGGAGCTTATTTACAGTGTCATCATCTTGTGTTCTCTGCAGGTCTGAGCGGATTTTTCTAACTAGAGGAGTACAGTAGCCTTTGGCAATCTCCAGTTTTTCAGCTTTAGTTATACCATATTCCTGAGCAGAAAATACACAGCATTAGAAAAAGGGTGTAATAATGAAGCACTCTAACAAATGCACTCCTGAATTAAGGAACTCCAGTGAGACACAAATAATTGTATGAAGATGGGTTTGCACATTAGACAACTCCGTTTGCCTGTTTTATAACTGCAAACATACTATTTTCAAACTATAAATATAACTGGAAAGATTCTGTGGTAGAATTAATAAAGCAAGTAACATAAAGGAGGATGAATGGACTAATGCAATCTTTTATAATAGTATTCAACTTAATCAGGAGACTTAAAATGTTTAAATAACCCTAAAGCATGGATGAAGGCGAGAATAACTGAAGCACAGACAACAGGCCACAGACATGAAAGGCAATGTAAATTAAATGCACAAAGCATTTGGAGGCTGAGGGTGCGGCTCAGTGGTAAGGTGGCTGCCCAGTACTCAGAAGGCCCACGCTGGATTCCCAGCACCACGAAACAGAAGGAAGACCAGACAGACTTCTGTCTATCCCAATGTTGAAACACACTCCTCAAAAGCTTTCGGCCAATATTCTTAATACTTTAAGTAGTGAGAAAAGATGTTTTAAAATTACCCAATTTATGATGTCTATAATCAGCATGAATTAAATTATAAGGAATTGAAAATGAAGTGGAAAAAACCTAGTAATTATGAATTAATTGCAAAATGGTAGAGTCAAAATGGTAGATTAGAAAATGACAGTATATTAGAAAAGAAAAATTTGTGGGATGGGAGGGTGTGAGAAGGGAAGAAGGCACAAATAGGAGGGATAGACAGAAAAAAGGAGAATATGGAAGAAGGAAGAAATACACATACTCCCTCTCTCCAAGTTCATTCTGCGATATCTTAATTTAAAGACTATTTCCTGTGAACAGAAACCACCAAAGAGATTCAGATGGTAAACATCTGTAGACAGCAAAGCAAAATTGCCTAATAAAGAATGTGTTTATTGCTTACAGATGGAGTACCCATAAAAACTGAACCTCTTGGAGTCATTTACCTTAAAGCTTTTATTCCTAAATTCAGTCAATAAAGTCCCAATATACATGACAGTGAGCTAGGTATATGAAAGGGATATGTATATTTATGTAAATAGTAGAAAACTACTGGAATTAAAAAAATCATTAGGGAAAAAACATTTTAAAATTTGTTTTAGCAAGCTATGAGGAAATGAGCATTTTCATATACTGCTGGTGTGGATAAAAAAATAATTAAAGAGGTCTAAAGCTACAGAAATAGGGTTAAGTGCATGGAAAGACTTATATAAAGAATGAGAGAAATTAAAAAGAATCCAGGTTTCCAAGTATGAGAAACTGATCAAATAAATTTACACATAGCTTTACTGAAATACAAAGTTCCTGATGTTAAATGAAGGGAAAAACATCAGGTTGTAAAACACTATGGTTTTTCTTGATTCCATTTTTATATATGAATTAATGAGAATAATTATATGTGCATAAATTTAAATAAAGAGGCCTTTAAAAATATTCCAAAACACTAATACGCTTTTGGATGATAATGTTATAGAGTTTTTTCCTAATACACACACTTTCTAGTTTTAAAACAAAGATATATTTCTTTTTAAGGAAGAAATCTTTCTCTTCAAAACACATTTTTGCTCATCTGCCACCATTCTTTGGAACTGAGTAATTCTTAGAAACCTATGTTGTCATATGTAGTTGCAATATTTCTACCACAAACAGAACTGGTTAAGATACAAGATGAAGCTATTTAAAGGCTTTCTGTGGTGATTTCCATGACAATGTCTTTGCACTTTATATGGCAAATGCTATTATGGAGAATACTCTGCCTTTCATAATCTACAGCCAAACAAAGAAATTATCTTCAAATTTTAATTCACTTAACACAGAGACTGAATTGATTCAATTTAAGAGTAGAAACTGTCTTTTTAGAGGCTCAGTAATGCTTTGAAGTGTATGAGAATGTATATACATTTTTCTTACACAGACAGTGAGCAACACTGTCAAGTTTGCATCAGTTTTTTCTAAACAAGTTAAAAATTTATATATTTGACTGGATAGTCAAATCTCAGTTTACTCTTCATCTGCATGAGAACATATGCAAATTTTACTTCCTCCATTGTAAATAATATTTTCACGATAAATTATTACTCTTAATGGTTATAATTTTAATTATTTTTTTCAGTGATTGAAAATACCTGCATTTTGTTCAGTTTCTCGCCTTAGGAAGCCTAAATCAATAAAGTAAGTTATTATTTAATTGAGTTAAATACAACATTCTATGAAAAAAAAAAAAAAAGAATTTCCAAGCTTCTGCCACAAAAGTACCATCAAACCAAAAAGTTAAGTCCAACTTTTCCTCTCCTCAATTTAATTTCACTAAAGCATATAAAAGTCTCCTGGTTTTAAAGTTATAAATTTACTCAAAATATGACCATTTCCTGGAGGGTTGGGTATAATTTTTGTCCTAAGAGAACCAAGATATCAAAAATAATTTATCAACCCCCCTCCCAATTTTAGAGGTATCATCAATAAATTCTATGATTATTATGAAAAATCTAATTTGATTTTGGCAGAGAATTACTATAATGGTCACTGAGAATAGCTGAGCTAGAAGAATTACTTTAAAAAACACAAATGATAGTTCAAATCTTAGTAATCATACTAATCTTTGGTGCTTCTTTTAGTTATATTTTAACAATTCATTATGAATAGTTAAAACTACATGGACACGGTGCATTTCAACTATAAAACAATTTTTTCCTTCTCAATTCTAACATGTTCTGTATATTTAGTAGAAAAATTTAGAGGAGTGAAATTAAACTATGTAATGACACAGGTGTGATTATGCTAAGTACAGGTGCAAATTCTCTATGATAAGTGGTATCATTATGTATGCCTAAAATGTACCAACAAATGTTTTGCTATTAAAACAGAAGAACAAGCATTTCTAGATTTAGTCTCTGAGTAGGCAATATATCTAGATGCATCAAAAGTCTATTTTGAAAAACACATATAGCCACCATAAATATTTTAAAAGGCTGTATATTTACAGCTAATTGTTAAAAAGTATACTTTTAAATAATTTTCACTGTAAACATAAATGCAACGACTAAGACACTAAGCCTATGCTAATGTCAAAGCAATTCACATCAATGAAACAATTTACACTTTTCATGTAAATTTGGAATTATCAGCAATCATTTTTCTAGAATCTTCAATAGGAAAGTTTGAATAAATTTTCTATCTTGAACTTCATAACAAAGATCGATGCCAACTCAGTAAATTTACTTGTTTAGTTATAATCAAGTCACTGTTGGGTTGAGATGATCATTTTTACCACACAGTTAAGATTGAATCCTGTAGAATTTTGTGCTCAATTTGATGGTAATCTTCAAATATCCTACATTATAAAAACAAAACCTTTTATTTTGCAAAATTAAAACTTTTAAAGAATAAAATTTGTCTTTTTCATTTCAAACAGTAAGAAGAAAAATTATAACAATAATTATAAAAAACATTTTTGTGTATGGTACTGGAATTCAGGGCCTTGTTCATACAAGGCAAGCACTTACCAATAAGCCACACTGCCAGCCCCATATTTAAATTTTATTTTGAGACAAGGTCTCATTAAATTGCCCAGACTGGCCTCAAACTTGCAATCCTCCTGCCTTAGCTTCCTCAAAGCTGAGTCCTGTTTTCTAAATTCATGTTCCTTAAAGCAAGCCTCAAAGGCATATTCTTGATAACCAAGATATTTTTAGCTACTTTTAAAAAGGATTCATGTTTATAAATCACTGCTTCACATTATATAATATTGTCCATCTTGCATATATGGCCAAGTAAATACATAGTTGCTCCTTCAATCTGAAGGAACATAATGTTAATATGCACTATCTGTGACTATTAGAAAATATATGGTTATTTATAAGTGAGGCTATTTGAACTTTTATTGCTATTTATAGTTTTCATATATCTCATTTTTCCCATCTTTTAACTTTAGTTCACATTTGGAGTTCTGATCCACTCCAACCTCTATGTTGTAATAACCAAACCATTGTTGGTAACTGAGTTGGGAAAAGATCCTAAAATGGTATCTGGAACTTTTTTCTTTTAACATATTCTTGATATCAATGTGCTTTGTAACATGTTATTAACCTGGTTCTCTGCTTGATTATTTTTCAGTTATTTGAGTTCTTATTATACTTTCACTTTTATTATCCTATAATGAAAAGATCCTTGTCCCCCAAAAGGATGACTTACAACTTGACCTCTAAACATTTTCAAATACTTTCACATAAAGTAAAAAGACTTGTCATTTTTCTTTCTTTTTTATACTTGTTTTTTTGTACTGGGGATTTAACCAAAGGTCTTGTGCATGCAAGACGAGCACTCTACCGCTAAGCGACATGCCCAGCTCACAAAGCAAAAGATTTTTATAAGGGATGCAGCTGCCTTTTCTTCCCATTCTCCACATACTTCCATAACATGAAGCTGGTAGGTGTGCACTAGGTATCCAATAAATACTTAAGTGATTTTTTTCTATACTGTCTTCAGTTGTTTTGTTAGCACATTATTACTCTTAAGAGCACAAATTTTTAAAAGTCACTGTATTCTTTGGACAGTGAAATTACTCTGTATAATACTATAATGGTGGGTACATATCACTGTAAATGTGTCCAGGTTCACAGAATCCTAATGCAAACTATGGACCTCTGGTGACACTGATATGTCAATGAAGGTTCGTCGACTGTAAAAAAATATTCTAGTCTGGTGAAAGAGGCTCTTAATGGGGAAACAGGGCTGTGCATGTGTAGGGGCAAAGGGCATATGGGAAATCTTTATACCTTCCATTTCATCTTGTGAAACTAAAACTGCTCTAATATACAATTCATTTTTAAAAAGATGCTAAAATCAAAATGTTAGGAAAGGAGATGTAATTAGTATAAGCAAAACAGAAGGCTTACAATATCAATCACGATTACTTCATTTAAAAATCTTCTAGTCATGAAAACCAACTCTATCTAAACATTTTAAAAATATGTACTTTAAAACTGTATAAGAAAACTGATTCTTAAGCATTAGTTACCTGAGGGATAACAATATCTGCTAATGCCTTGGAAAGCCTGTATAATTCCATCGTGTCTTCTAATTTCAAAGAACCATTATGCTGGACATCATATTTTATACAGTCATATATGTCAGGAATCTTACTAATATCATATCTTCCATTCTTTGTTTTAAAGTCCTTCTCCAACTTGGACCATCTACGTAGCATAAGCTCCAAGGTTTCACTATGGTAGAGCTGAATATCTAAAACAATATAACATTTTCAGTACATTCAGCTTAAAAATCTGATTAAGGATATACATTAAAATCAGAATATCAGAAACTTCTAAAGTTGCAGAGGTAAAACTATATAAAGTTAGAACATATTACTATAGGCCTATCTCATTAGCAATCAAGTATTTTTTAGACTTGACTAAGTACTTGGTATAAAAACTTGGGTTGAAAATTTGTAAAAGACCTTTTTCATGTTATGGACTTTCTGGTTATTTTTACTACATTCCTATAATTAACAGAAGAGGCAGACAACCTTTAGCAGAAAAGAATCTTAGAAATTAAAATTGTTAAAATGACACATGTATACTAGTAAAAAAAAAAATCTACGATGTCAAAGTTGTCCAAGTTGTTAACCAAGCTAACCTTGGAGCCACAGCCTTTAACATCTTGTTTGTCCCTCCCTCTTATGTGACCTATGCAGTGTAACTAGCTGATAATGCTAAATAACTAATCAAATGAGAATGTTCTATTGCGTTTTCCCTATTATCATGGATAAAAGCAACCACAACTTAGCTATTATTCCTTTGCTGCATACATGTTAACTCACACTATACTTGATCTTCAGAGAGGTTTGATTTCTTAAAATGAGATTGATGTTTACTCATTTTATGCCTTAAAAATTTTTTTTTTACCTGATGATTTTGGATCTTCCATTCGATGTCTGATTTGAGAAGTCAAACTTTGAATCAGAGAATAAACTTTGTCACAGGTCTTCACAGGATTTTTAATTAAATGCATTGATTTGATAAGAGATATGCTTTCAGATGGAGTAAGCTACAAATGAATAAAGTACATATTTTATAACTTATTATGCTTAGCTATCTAAGAGAACATACAAAATTTCCAAAATAATCCATTCCACAAATTAAGATGACATCCAAAATATGGTAATAAGATCAAGGGGTAGGTAAAAGCACCAGAAGTTCCTGCTACAAAAATAATGAAGTTTAGCTACCATTAGATTACTCATAAAGAAAATCTGGCAAAAGTATTCTAACTTAAGCTATGAGACTTGATGAGCACTTACTGATTTGTAATATGTAAATATGGTTTTAACCCCTTGACATATATTTACATGTAATTACATTAAGCCTTTATTATTACTGCCACCTTTTTCCAAATGAGATATCTAGATCTGAAGGTTAGCAACTTGCTTAAGATCAAATGTCTAGTATATGAAGGAGTGGGATTCAAATACATGCAGTCTGACTACAGAACTCATGTTCTTAACCACTAAGCTATTATACATCTGAAATGAGTTTTATTTCCATTCAACAAAAGCCACCTATGTATAACATAATTGTAAACTCTAGTTTTGACACTTATCTTGGCAAGTTATTTAACCATATGAAGTAAGTTCCTACAAAAATAAAAAATGTAAAGTAGAATTCCATTTCTGGTTATGGTGGACTAGGTAGCTTGGACCAATCTAACTGCTGAAAATAAGTAAAAATCCTGGGCAAAGAATTTCTGCATCTTTACTTTAAAGGCACCGGAGAGATAACAAGTTTAGGTTAGCAAAGCTCAATGATGAGTAAGTGACCTGCAAAGAGAGCCTGTCATTAAAGAATATTTCTGACCTGAAAACATTTCTTGGTTATAAAGAGTTCAGTAGCTTTAAAAATCATATTGGGCTACAAAGAAAAAAAGGAGCTCAAGTTTCACCCAACGTGGAATTCTGGTAAATCCCTTACATCCAGGGTTTAAAAAAATGAGGATGAATCAGAAGGAAATCAATCCAACACCAACCTTCAGGCCAGGTTAAACTCAACTAATAGGCCCAAAAGGATCTGTTTCTGAAAGTGGTTTAAAGGCAATCCCAGACTCCTATGTTCACAGGCATGGCAGAAACAAATCACAAGACCAGAAGATAAAGTCATCTGTAGCTCAATATATTTCCATAAACAAATAAAATATCCATCTACAACTAATGATATTGACACATAAGGAAACAGGATTAAAGGTCCCTCAACAGATAGACAACAGTAACAGAATGACTCAGCCACTAGAATTTCCAACAAAAACTAAAAAATGAGATTTCTTATGTTCAAGAAGTCAAAAAATGAAACAAAGCAAAACCCCCTGAAAATCAAAGACCAGCAATTATTTTAAAAAAGCAAATAGAAATTCTAGAATAAAAAAAGTGGTTGATTGTAAAGCATATTAATTATAGCCAAAGACAAATTTGGTAAATTAAAACATAGATTAGAATATTGTATCTGGAATAAAGCATAGAGACAAAAAAGGGAAAAAAATTCAAATTATAGATAAGAAAAGACAAAGTGATAAGTTCCAACAAATATACATTTGGAGATAACTCAGAAGAAATTAAGAGATATTAATATATTGAAAAACCTTTCCAAAACCAATGACAAGTATCAAACCACAGATCAAAAAAACCTAATAAATTGTCAGCAGGTTATAAAGTGATCTACAGGGGCTAGGGAAGTAGTTCAATGGTAGAGCAATAGTCCAGCACATGGCACTGGTACCTAGAACCACTAGAGAAAAACAAGGGTGACTTCTATCTGGACATACAACAGAAAACTGCTATGAATGAAAGATAAAAATAAAATGTTAAAAGTAGCGAGGAGGTATTAAAAATTATTTTCAAAGGTCTAACAATAAGACTAACAGCTGACTTCTCAAGAAAAATATTGACTGCCAAGCATCATCCTAGAATTCCAAAGCAGTGAAAATAACAAGAGTAAAGCTGAAATAGACATCTTCAGACAAACAACAAAAACCCCCAAGAATTCACCACTAGCAGACTGGTACTAATAGAATTACTACACTATTTTTTGTTCATAAGAAAAATAACCCTAAATGAAAGAAATAATAAATAGTAATTAAAGAGTAACTTAGACTTCTAGCAAAATAGCCATATAGACCACTGAGTGAGCTTCCTTCTTACAAAAGGCCATAGCATGGAATAAACAGCTGCAATTTGGCTAGAATATTTAAGGAGAATGCTGGAGTATAATGTAGATGAAATGCAGAGACTGTGGACCAGGAAGATTTAGGATGGCTCTATAAAGATGAGAATAAAGTACTCTATGTTGCACTGACTACTCTGTTACCACTCCTCTGAAACAGAAAAGTCCTCCTGTAATGGGAGTCTCTCAACAGCTCCTAAGGTCACTTGAAATGGGTGCTGCTGTGGAATCCTGCATCCGATATGTAGGCCCTGAGCCTGGTTTAGGGAGTGGCAAGGACGTGCACACCACTGCACTGCTCTGGAGGATAAGCCCAGTTCATGTTGTACACTGTCTCTATCCCCACTAGTACCATTCTGACACACAATCTACCCGTGTCCTACCCTCACTGCCATGTACTTCCTCCCAGCATGAACTCATCCCTGCCACACATGCCAGCCTATTGGACTAGTTTCACTCCTGCATGATCCACAGAGACTGACAGACTCCTTGACCCACTACTGCATGCACTGCACCTAAATCAATTGCAGCTAAAGAAGATATATGGAGATGCATCACTGCACTCAAGTGGATTCAAAGCCATATCAAACTGACACCAGAAGATACATCTGTAGGAGAAAGTCTTCTACTACAAAAACCACCAGATAAAACTGAGGGACACAAGAGAGGTGCCATATGTGCAAATATCAAAGTTGGGACACAAGTGGTATGAAATAGCAAGGTAACATAATGCCTCCAAAGCAACATAATAACTCAGTGACAAAAAACTCCAGAGAAAAGAAGATTAATGAAATGCTGGAAACAGAGCTCAAATGATTATGGTAAGGAAACTCAATGAGATGCAAGAAGATAGAGATAATTTAATGAAATTTGGAAAACAGCTCATGATAAGAATGGGAAATTCAGCAAAGAAACAAGAGTTTTAACAAAGATAAACAGAAATCTTGGAGCTGAAGAATTCAAAACATGAAATTAAAAAATACAGTGGAGAAAATTAACAACAGACTGGAAGAGAACAAAGAATTTCTGAATGTGAAGACCCAGTTTAACACTAATTCTTCTCAAGCTATCCCAAAGAACTGAAAAGGAGGGAACTGTTCCAAACTCCTTCAACAAAACCACCATTATCCTGACACCTAAAACAGATACAGATACAATAGAAAAAGAAAACTGTAAATCAATATCCCTCATGAACAGAGATGCAAAAATCCTCTACAAAATATAACCAAATTAAATCCAACAGCACACCAAAAAGATTATATATCATGATAAAATGAGGTTTATGTACAGATGCAATGATAGTTCAACATAATGAATAAACACAATACATCACATCAACAGAATGAAGGACAAAAACCAAATGATCATCTTAATAGATGCAGAAAAACCACTCAATAAAATCAACATCCTTCATGATAAAAGGTCAACAAGTTAAGTATAAAAGAATATCATCTCAATATAATAAAGTCTATAGAAGACAAACCCACAGTGAACATCATCAGGGAAAAGCTGAAAGCATTTCCTTTTTTTTTTGGTACCGGGGATTGAACTTGGGTCCCTGCTCTTGTGAGGCAGGTGGCAGAACCACTGAGCTAAATCCCTGGCCCAACTGAAAGCATTTCTTCTAGGAAGCAGAACAAGACAGGATGTTTACTTTTACAACTCTTATTCAACATAGTACTGGAAGTCTTAGCCACAGCAATTAGACAAGAGAAAAAACTAAAAGATCCACACAGAAAGGGAAGAAGTCAAATTATCCTTGATTTGTAGATGACATAAGTCTCTGAATAGATAAACCAAGACTCCACCAAAAACTATTGGAACTGATAAATTCAGTAAAGTTGCAGAACAAAGACTGAACATACAAAAATCAATAGTATTTTTATACACCAATTAACAAACTCGTTCACAAAGAAACCAAGAAATCAATCTTACTGTCAATAGCTACAATAATAATGATAGCTAGGAATAAATCTAAATAAGTTAACTTCTACAATAAAAATTATAAGACACTGATGAAAAAACTTCAGACAAAAAATGTAGAAAGATCTTCCATGTTCATGGACTGAAAAACTTAACATTGTTAAAATGTCCATACTATGGAGAGCAGTTTATAGATTCAACAGAATATCAAAATACCAATGGCATGCATCCTTCACAGAAATAGAAAAAGCAATCATAAATTCATAAGGGACCACACAAGATACCAAAAAATCAAAGCAATCTTGAGCAAAATGAACATAGCTAGAAGCATCGCGATGCCAGATCTCTAGACATACTACAGGGCAACAGGAACCAAAACAACAAGGTACTGGCATAAAAACTAACACACAGACCAATAGAAAAAAACAGCCCAGAAATAAATTTATACATTTACAGGCAAGTGATTTTCAACAAAGACACCAAAAACATAAATTAGAGAAAAGATAGCTTCTTTAATAAATAGTAAACTAGATATCTATATGCAGAGAATGAAACCAGACCTGTCATCATATACAAAATCAACTCAAAATGGATCAAAGATCCAAATGTAAGAGCTGAAACTAAGAATAGGAGAAACACTTGCAGACATGAGTATAAGATAAAGATCTCACTGGTACAAGCAACAAAAACAAAAACAAAAACAAATGGGAATAAACTCAGCTTTTAGCAGGAAGTATAGTAGGTATAACCAAAGACAAAGTAGGGAAACAAGATTCATCATCCACTGAATTTGCAGAAAATCAAAGAGCAGCTCTTGAAAGGTATCTTCAAAGAACAGTAAAACACCCAACTTTACTACAGGACCCTGACGGTAGTTTGTGGAATGTCAGAGCTTCCAAGAGCAGTTAATACTCAGGCTCTGAGTGGAGCAGAAATACTGAAGATGGTGAACAAAGGACAGTTTGCCAAAGCTGTCTACAAAATGAGCTTCAAAATGAATGAATCAGACGCACAGCTTGAAGAAAGGCAACAGCAATTTGAAGATTCTCACTCGTGACTTAGGAAACTTCCTGCCAGTATTGAAGCCTTGGTCTGTCACAGAAAAGAACTTTCAGCCTTTGCTAAAAATATGCTGCCATGTTAGACAATTCTGAGGCTTTATCTAGAGCTTGTCTTAGCTTCCAGAGGCTGAGGAGATAATAGAACACTTACATCAAGAACAGTCTTCTGCAGACTTCTGTAAGTCTTCAGAACTACTCAGTGACTACATTCTTCTTATTGCTGCAGTGAAAGCTGTGTTTGACCATCGCATTCAAGGCTGGCAGCAACGGGAAGATGTTCTAAAATTACTTTGCTCAAAAAACATGAAACTGAGATAAAAATGATGTCTGCTAACAAATATCAAACCATATACAAGCTAAAAATGAAATAAGAAGAGTAGGAACTCAAAGTACAACAAGGAGAAAGACACATTGAACAGATCTCCAAATTAAAAAAGTAGTAAGATTTGAAAAAAAAGTTGGTGAAGGATTTAAAAACTTACCAAGAACTTGAATCAGTACAAACACAGCAACACTTGATAAAATACTAGGAGGAATTCCTATTTGAAGCCAAATTCATTGCTGAACAATAAGATTATTGCTGTTAAAATGACACTGGATGCTTGTTCTACCTAGCCTGAACTTACAATGAAATAATTTAAAACCATTTTTTAAAAACTATATACTTTAGGGCCAAGGATTTAGCTCAGTGGTTTCACCGCCTGCTGCACAAGTGCAAGGACCCCAGTTCGATCCCTGGTACCAAAAAAAATTAAAAATAAAAATAAATAAATAAATAAAAACTATATACTTTATAAATTTTCAAAAAGGTTTGTCTTGAAGAACATGAACAGAAAAGAAATGCTTATAATTAGTATTGGAAGATCTTTTGTATTTAAAGGCAAGCAAAAGGATAAAGAAGCATAGAGACTGGGAAAAAAAAATCCCAAAAGTATACTTTCAAATAATCAGAAAATCTACATAAATTATCAGAATTAATGATTTCAACAAAGTAAATGTACATATTGTTACTAAAAATTACTTCTGTATAGTCACAGGAAAAAAACTTTAAAGAAGTGTCACATATAACTGCATTAAAAATACCAATTGCCTCAGTCTAAATATAAGATATGCAAGACTTCTATGCAGAAAATTATAAAAATTATTGAACGTAATATCTACTAAAATGAGCTATTCTGCACTCATAAAGATTAGATTAAAATGTAAATTTGCACAAACTACAGATATTATGCAATTTAATTAAAATCTCAACAGTAATTTATAATAGCTTATTTTGAAATTTATATGGAAATCCATGAAAATCCAACAAATGAGGAAGGGTCCACGTGGAAGTTAGAAAATTTTATTCATCTGTACTACAAGGATCAACAAATCGAATACAAAGTCCAGAAACATTACACATATCTGATAAAGATGGCACTACAGGGTAGTGAGAAAAGGCCTTTTCAGGGGGTGCTAGAACACCTAGATGTACACAGAGTTTCAAGGAAGGATCAGTTTTGACACCCTTAACTCTCAGCATACATGATGGCAGATAAATGTGAAGGGCAATAAAATAAAACTTACATGGAAGGATGTCGTATCTTTGGTTAGAAAGAAGATATTCTAAGCAATACATTAAAATACACTAACATGGAAGGAAAAAAATTGAGCTTGGAATTCATCTAAAATAAGAATTTCAGGGCCAGGGATTTAGCTCAATGGTTTTGCCACCTCCTGCGCAAGCGCAAGGACCCAAGTTCAATCCCCAGTACCAAAAATAAATAAATAAATACATAAAATAAGAACTTCTGTTTATCAAAAGCCATCCTTAATTCTCAGAGTATGTAGTGGTAAACATGACACACATAAAAATAACATATAAAGAATACAGAAATAACTTCTATCACTTAGTAAGAAACACAGAGATATCAAATAGAAAAACAAGAAGAGAGATTTGAAGAAAAGATTTTGTAAAACAGGATGTCTGGTCAATTAACATTAAAACCAGATAACCAAAACTGAATAGTTTTAGACTCTCAAGACTGAGGAATAAGTGAAGCAATGTCAACTCTCATGACCTTCTGGTGGCAGTGTAAATTGGTTTTATGACTTTGAAATAGAGTTTGACTTTATACACTAATATTAAACATAAGCATATCATGGTTCACAACAATTTCACTCTTAGAATATACCCAGGGGAAACATACACTCAAAAGGCATTCAAGAATGTTCATAGCAGCCTTAATCATAACAGCTCAAAACTGTAACAATAAAAAAAAGGATATATAAACTGTAGAATATTCATAAAATAGAACACAGGTCAACAAACTAGACTGCAGGCCATATGTGGCCTGGCCTGTGGCCCAGCCCATGAGGGGAGAATACCTTTTTCATTTTTATGGGGCAGTCAAAAAAGAATGTATAACAGTGAACATATTTGCCCCACAAAGCTTAAATAGTTATCGTCTGATCTTTTATAGCAAAAGTTTGCCAACTGCTAAAATAGAATATTACAGATCAATGATTATTAATTAACTATGAAAATACTCAACAATATGGATGAATTTCACAAACGTACTGAGCAAAAGAAACCAGATATAAAAGAAAATTATATCTATTCTATGAAGCTCAAAAAACAGTACAAGTAAACTGGTAAAGCCATTATAATGAACAGCATGGAGGTTACACAAAAACCCGAAAACAGAACCACACGATCCAATAATCCTACTTCTGAGCATATATTCAAAGAAAATGAAGTGAGTATGCTGAAGAGACATCTAAACTCTCATTTTCACAGCAGCATTGTTCAAAACAGCCAAAATATGAAATCACCCTAATTGTACGTCAATGGATGAATAAACAAAATGTGATATAAAAATACAGTGAAATTTCTATCCAGCCTTATGAATAAACAAATATAGGAGAGATGACAGGAGACTAAAAGGTAGATTTTGGAGAAAGGGGAGGGGATCAAGGGAGAGAGGAATAGGGAAAAGGGGATAATGGAACTGAAAATGATCAATATGTTATACACATTTACCAATCTCTCAGAATGAACCTCACTATTCTATATTATTAAAATGCACTAATAAAAAAATTACACTTCAGTTAAAAATATTACTGTCCAGTCCTAAAAAAGAAAGAAATAATTTGCAATAACATGAATGAACCTGGAGGACATTAAAGTAACTGAAACAAGTTGGCACGGAAGGCAAATCAGCATGATCTCACTTGTGAAATCTAACAAAGCTGAATTCAGGAGAGAGTAGAATGGTGGCTACTGGAGTTTGAGGTGAGAAAAAGTTAAGGAGGTGTTGGTCAAAAAGATAAAATTTCAATTATAAAAAGTAAGGTCATGATGCAGTGACTATAGTTAATAGAATTGCATTTTATCTTGAAAATCCTTAAGAGAGTAGTTTTGAAGTGTTCTCACCACAAAAAAAATGACAAGATTCGAGGCAGTGCATATATTAATTAGCTCATTTTAGCCACTCCACAATATATACATATTTAAAAACATCATGTTGTACAGAATATGTCCAATTTTTGTCAATTAAAATAAACTGCTAAGTAAGTTGCCAAAAATCAGACGACATTGGTTAGATATGCACACTAATCCAAATGACTACGATATTCTAGATATGGTAAGACTATAAAAAAGGGCAACAGAAAAAGTCAGGATCGTAGTTATTTCTAGGAGATAGGAATGGGTTGGCATGGTGAAGGGGCCAGTAATGTGCCAATGTTCTATTTCTCTATCTGGTGATTCTAAAAATATTTGCTTTAAAAGACATTAAGCACAACAATTATGTTTTTTGCATTTTTCTGCATGTAATATTTTCAAAATATAAGTGTGCTAACACCAACCTTTTCATAATCTTCAGCAGTAAAATCTCTGTCTTTCTGAAGTATTTCATGAAGTCTTGCTTTCACACGTTGTTGACAGCTACTCAAAGAATCACTATCACTATCCAAAAGACCATTCATATTCGCACTTTTCACCATCTGAACAAGAATGGGTGTAAGCTCTCCTTCTAGAGCCAATAGCCCCTAAACATATTAAACAAAGCCAGTAATTTAAAAATTAATATGCAAAATCATAGAAGATATCATAATTTTGTTATATGCTGAATTTCACAATATATAATCTATAGTTTCTCATTGCCAGTTGTTGGCTTAGAAGTTCCAAATCCGGAAATTTTAAATACTGCTTCAGTAAAAATCTCTTAAACTGCCATATTACATACAAATTCTAGTAATTTAAAAAAGCATTTATTGGTACCTTTGCAAAAGCAGCTGCAGTCATCTGGACTCGCCCTTCATCAGAGGCATATATTTTGAGGTCATGTCGGTAGGTGCTGTGTAACCGAAGTAAACCACAACCAGGAAATCCTGCATAATCTCCTAAAAGTAAATCCCCAAATCACTTAAGCTGTATTTTTATTTCATTGTATTTCTTTAAATATTTACTAGCATCAAAAATACTTACACATAAGGATTTGCAAATAAAATGTATACATTTAACCAAATTCAAGAAATTTCAAGATTTACCTTGACCTCCAGGATACATACACCTAAAAGCTCTTCCAAGTTCTTCAGCCTGGACCCTGCCTGCAGGGGTTAGTTCTCCTCCCCACTTTAGAACCAACAGTAAGGATGGCTCTTCCCTTCGGCTGTCTAAAACACACACAAGTGAATAAAACAAATGTTAAGTATGTTTCTTTAAAGAGACGTGCCTCAATGTTAAATGTTGGGGGGGGGGGTGTGCTTTCACAGTGGAATCTCAAATGTAAATTATTTCAGTCCCTAAACGTGCCTATCTTTGTGGGCTTTTGCTTTCATCAGAAATACCATTTGGACTACTTATGAAAATTTTACTCAAATTCAGAATCTCTTTCATGCTTAGGAGAAGGCTCCCAATTTTCCGCAGAAGTACTGCATCTCCTTCCTCTACTCTCATAGTGATTCATCCAATTTAACCTAGTTATTTAACCTAGTTATGCTACCTCTAATAGACTATGAGCTCCTAGACACCAGGGCCCAGAACTGATCTGTGTTTATGTCAGGTGCTTTTCACAGTGCTGTCACATAGAAGAAAATACATTAGCGGAAGTGAAGAACATATATATGTTTTATGATTGGCAATCAATGATTTGCATGACAGCCTATCATGTATTCTAGTTCAAATTTTAGCAAACAATGAGATGTAGTCAAGAGCATCATTTGAATTGTACAATCTTTGTAATTTCCAGATTAAATAATTTTCTCAGACATGAGGGAGACACCCGCCATAAGTGAATGAGTTTCTGTACTTAACTTTGACCACCTCTTTATCATGCATGGCCTTAAGATCTGTCTGTGTTGAGATTTAGAAACAAAGGTAATTTAACAGTAATTTATAAACACTTAAAGAATAATGATTCATTAAAAGTGATAGAAAATCATGCTTTCTTTAGGACTCGTTAGCAGTGGTATATGCTTTATCATGCAGGCTGATAAGGAACTGACAGAACACAGGTAACTTACATTGTTATTATATTTGTTCACAAGAAGTTTTTCATTATAAACATTGATACAGAAAATTAATCTGTGTTGTTTGCAATCACAAAGTGTGACAAGAACAACAGATCAAATATTAAAATAAACGTATGAAGATTAACAAATTCAAAAATGTATTTGCATTTAAGATAATCACTACTTCAATTTCTGCTACAATAAATAATGCCACTGTGAATATTCCTACAGAGTGATCTTTCTCTGCACATCTGATTATTTAATTGGGATTGATTATTACAAGGTCAAAGCAGCGCAACATTTTTTGAAGTTTTGAATTGTCAAATTACTGTTTAAAAAGATATATCAATCTACACTTCTACTAGTAGGCTAAAATCCTGCCGTAGTGTATTCACATCAACATTTTTTATTACCATTTTCAAAAAGAGAAGAAAAAGCTCTTTGTCAGTGTGATGGGCAAGAGAGATTATTCAGACTGAGTATCCCTAATCCAAAGTGCACATGCTTCAAAGTCTAGAGCTTTTTGATCCCTAACAGGATACCACAAGTGGAAAATTCCACACTATGAAACTTGGTCTTACATATAAAATAAAAATATTTTATTAAGTTTCTTCAGGCTACACATAAGGTACACATACACATACGCATGTGTGTACATATATGCACACACACAGATATGAATAAATGAGTTTTGTGTTTAGAATTGGGTCCTATTCCTAAGACATCTCATGCTGCACATGAAGGTATTTCAAAATCTTAAAAAGTCCAAAATTTGAAACACTTCAGATCTCAAGTATTTCAGGTAAGGAATATTTAATATTATTATAATTTTATTTACCATCTGCATTTCTCCATGAAATGACTCTCCAACCTTGCCTTTTTCTTTTAAAAGGTAGACGAATCTGTGGACTTTTCTGTTGATTGCTCATAGGATACCAACCTTATTTAAAAGCTCATTTGGGTTTACTGGGTAGAAGAAAATACCAATTCATTTTAGATACACACTGCGTATATTTTAAAATTTTCTTACTTTTGGAACTTTCTCCCTGTATATTCTACCTTCCTCTATTAAAAGAAGAAAAGTTGAACCTGTTATACAACAGTTATAAATAAATAAGCTTTCTGAAACAATCTCAGAATAAAAGGGAAGTCCCAAGTAGTTTTCAAAATAATAAATCTATCGCTTATTTAAAGGTTATTTATTTAAAGGTAGTGGCACAATTTTAACACTTGAGTTTATTCATTTTTTTATTCAGCATGCAAGTCCCTAAACTATTAATTAGAAGATGGTCCAAAAATAATCAACATGGCATAGAAAGTCACTATACATATGTAAAACACAACAAGCATTATGAATGACATACCTTCCTCTTCACTAGAGGTTTTAGGACACCCATGTGGGAGGTAAGTCAACTGGACCTTACGATTTATTCCAGAAAAATGACCATACCTGAAAAACAAAATGGCAAACAGAATGGACAATATTAATTGTTGATGTAATCTCTTAAAAAAACACTAAATCTATGTGGAAAAAAGCTAATTCTCACATTTTAATACACTTTTCCATTTGTAACTGCTTTGGTGAATTCTTTAAAACATCATGCAGAAAATCTGTATCATAAATAGCCATTCTAACCCACTGTAAAATAACAAATACAAATGTTTTCTACAAAATTTAGAAAATTCGAAGAGGTGAAAAGGTTCTATAGAAACATGTAAAAAATATAAGCATAGATACCTTAAATAATTAAGGACAGAAGACCATAAGTGGTCAAATACATAAAGCTACTAACAGGAGTACTGGTAGGAATCAATTTTACTAGATGGAGGTGTAGCTTTTTTATTTAAACAGTCCTGTAAAACTAAAACAATAAACTAACCTTAATACCATAATCTATTTTGTCACATTAGGACTTTTAGTCATTTCTCCTCAGCCACAATGGTACAGAGAAAAAGATCAAACCGAAGGAAATTAAAATGGGAAATTAGGCTTCCAGGGTAAGATAGGGGAATAGAAGTAACCTTCATGTGAATCTGAGAATAAGAATGAAGCAGAAGAAATAAAATAAGTAGAAAGGACACAAAGAATATTGTAGTTTTAAAATTGTACTTTTAGCGAAAATGCAACTCAGACTACAAACTCTTTTCTCCGCTCTGTGCTTCCTAAGCCTGTTTTATTCTTCCAGGCCCATTAAAACCAAAATCCTTTAAAATAATGTAAATCCATAAATTAGTTTAGTTGACAAAGTATAAGGCAGAAACCTGACCATAGGAATCTGTTTCTCTAAACAGATTCAAAGGGCTCAAACAATGTTTTTAGGCAAAACATCTTAGACTACCACCCTAAAAGGATACCTGAAAAAAATATATAGATCCCAAACCCCAGAGAGTAGTATGTTTCTCTCTTGAAGGTACATAATCTATTATTTCTGAGCAGGTATTTCTTCAATTCTGCCTAATAATACCATTTTACACCTCTCACTCATGTGTCCTAAAATTTCTTTCTGTGACAAGAATCAAGAACCTACTCAGTGGGCTGAATTGAGATCCCCCCTCATCTTTAGGGGAATTCCTTGGACCCTATCTGGTGACCAGAAGAGCAAGGAGTCAGAAACAAGAAATTATATTCTGAGGAGAGAAAGAAGAAGAGCTCCAGCAACCAAGAAGAAAGCTAAAAAGCACTGAGAGGGGGAAGGGCAACAGAGAGCAAAGTACAAAGCAGTCAGTAATGCACAGTGGGGCTGGGGTGGGGGCGCATGGACTTGACTCTTCATATACCAGGCAAACCTGAAGGCAAATCCACAGAAGGTATAAATCCACAAGAGACAGTTGTGGAGGCGCGGGGTGGGGGCTGGTGTGTGTGCAGAAATTCTCTGAGACGTCTTTAAGCAATGGGAGCTCCGAGGTGAGGAGGCAGGCCATTCACGTGAAGTTTTCTGAGGGGGCTAGATCTGAAATGGCCAGCATTAAGCCCACCCAGGAGACTACTAGGTTCCTCTTGCTGCCCCCTCTAGCACAGAATTCGGTGATCTGTTTGCTTCCCCCACCCTCCAACACTTCCATGGATTTGTCTCTGCTAGGACATTTGCCATGTCCCTGATGCAGATTGGGAGGTCTCTGGAGCAAGTGAGGCACCTGACCAGCCCACACACCACACAGTGTGAGGACAGCAGTCTCTTCCAGTGCGCAGACAGAAATGCGCACACATTAAAAACCTCTGGACTGAACATAGCTCTGAGGGAGACAACACACCCTGACTGGTCCTGCCCAGTGGAAAAGGTGGGGAAGACTCAGCATTCATAGAGGCCCAGACGGTTAAGTGTAAGTGCAGAGAATATACAAGAGGCCTCAGGCACGACTCCAACCTCAATCCCAAAACTGACTGGTCCCAGGAGAAGTCTTGGAGAGAAACTTTACTGTTCCAAACACACCAGTGTTCTCCACTTTTGGATTCACTTTTCTTTTTCTTTCTCTGATTTTCTCACCTTTTTTTCTTTACTTCTTTTCTATTTTCTCTTTTATTCTTCTTGTTTGCTTATTGTTTTTTTCTATTATTTTTATCCAATTGTGTTTACTTTTACATTTTTTAGTTAGATTTTTTTAATCTCTCACTCTTTTCTCCTCCTCTTTCTCATCTTATTTTTTTATTTTTATTTTATTATTTATTTATTTATTTTTGGAACCAGAGATTGAACTCAGGACCTTGTGCTTATGAGGCAGGCGCGGTACCACTGCACTAAATCCCCGGCCCTCACCTTATTTTTTTAAAATTGGGTTCTCTTTCATTTTTCCCTTTCCTTGACCCTCCATCTTTATTATTACTTCATTTTTATTCCTTATAATGTCTATTAATTTTTATCTTTTCAGTTGACTGAATACTAATACTATATATTAGTATTCCTACTTTCTTTTCTATTGTTAGTAGTTCTATAGTTAATACTGCTGCTATCAAATGGTTTTTAGTGTATTTCAATCTCTGGCTTAACGGTGCTGCTGCTACTACAGTTTATCTTGTCTGAGTCACACTGGGGAGTGACCCCTCCCAAGAAGGCTTGTTGCTAAGAAGATTCTCCTCACATGAGAACAGAAGGCATCTTTATCCCAACAGATATATAAACCTCAACACAGAAACATAAGAAGCATGAAGAACCAAGGAAACATGGTTCCTCCAAAAATCCATAACTTGTCAGTAACTGAATTCAAAGTTATCAAAGTGGATGAAATGCTACCCAAAGAATTCAAAAGACTGATTCTTTAAACAATCAATGATTTCAAAGAAGATACAAATAAACAGTGGAGTGAAGTAAGGAAGACAATACAGGATATAAAGGAGAAATTCTATGAAGAGATTCTGAAGAACAATCAAAGAAAAACCTTGAAAAAGAAACTTTAAGAAGACAAATTAAAATATTCACTGAAAACCTTATCAGAAAGACTGGATGAAGAAGAAAAGCAGCATTTCATAGCTTGAACACATGGCTGATGCATTATTATGCTCAAACAACGATAAAGAAAAATAACAGGAAATCAACAAAAAGTTGAAAAACTATGGAACATAGTTAAAAAAACAAACCTAAGAAATTTGGTATAGAAGAGGGCACTAAGGTACAGACTAAAGGCAAAGAAAATCAATTCAGAGAAATAACAGCAGAAAACTTCCCAAATGTTGGGAAAGATATGGATATCCAGGTGGCATGATTAGAACACACACCCCTACCATATATCACAATTAAAATGTCAAGAATACAGAATAAGGAAAGAATATTGAAAGCTACAAGACAGAAATATCAAGTTAGTTATAAAGTGAAACTCATCAGAATAACTGCAATTTCTCTGCACAAACTCTAAAAATCAGGAAGATATGGAACAATGTGTATCTAACCAAAAGAAAATAACTAGATTGTTATATCCAGCAAAGTTATTCTTCAGAATTAAAGGAGACATACTTTCCAAGATAAGTATATATTAAAGGAATGCATGACCATTAAGCAACATTGAAGAAGATAGTTAAAGAAATTCTACACAAAGAAAGTGTAAACTAACGAGAATTAGAAAATAACTAAACATTAGAAAAGCAACAATAAAAAATCAATAGCTATTCTACACATCAACTACCTGAGAAAGAAATGAGCAAAACAACTGCATTCACAATAACTCCAAACAATAATAAACTAAGGAATCAATCCAATCAAAGAGGTGAAAGACAATGAAATTCATAGAACACTGAAGAAAGAAATTAGAGAAGACACTATAAATTGGAAACACTTCCATGTATATGCATGGAGTCAATATTGTTAAAATGGCCATACACCGAAAGCAATCTAGATTCCCCAATGTCATTCCTCACAGAACTAAAAAAAAACAAAAAACAAAAAAAACCCCTAAAATTCATATGGAAACACAAAAGCAATCCTAAGCAAAAAAGAGCAATGCTAGAGCCACCACTGAACCTCATTTCAAAATATAGTACAAAGCTGTAGTAACAAAATAACATGATGCTGGTAAAAACAAACAACAAACAAACAAACAAACCAGACATTATACTGGTGGAATAAAATAAAGGATAGAGAAACAAAGCCACACAACTACAGTCATCTGATTCTTCACTCAGAGGTCAAAATATATACACTGGAGAAGACAGATTCTAACACATGGTGCTGGAAAAAATTTAAGCTACGTTCTTATCTTTCACCCTGCATAAAAATCAATCCAAAATGGATCAAAGATGCTTGATTGGGCAGCACATGTACTAAAATTGGAATGATGTGGAGAAGTATATCATGGTCCTTGTATAAGAATAACATACAGATTCGCAATGTTTTTCATATTAAAAAAATAAATAATTACAGAAGGATCAAAGGCCTAGGTCTAAGACAGTGATAGTGACCCTTTTAGAAACCAACTGCCCAAAGTGGAATCCAAAACCCACTTATTTATTGCAAAGTGCCAACACTGCAATTAAACCTGAATGCTCAGCTGTTAGGGGTAATGCTGGGCAATTTGGCTCATGTGTCCACAGAGAGGATAGGGTTCTTCATGACCACTACAGCACATGTGGCATACGTTAGCCACCACTAGTATAAGTTGCAAAACTCTGAAACTGCTAGAAGAAAACACTTTAAGTCATAGGCACAGGCTATGACTTCCATAGGACTCCTAAAACGAGATAATAATAATAAAAAATTGGGACTACATAACATTTAAAAACTTCACAACAAAGAAAAACAATTAGCATGATGAAGGGAATACAGAATAAGATAAAATCTTTATCAGCTACTCATTCAACAGAAGATGAATAGAGAACTGAAAATACTTTATACCAAAAAATTAATAAATGGGCAAATAAACTGAACAGATACTTCTCAAACAAGGTACAAAAAAATATGAAAAAATGGTTAACATATCCAGTTATTAGGGAAATGCAAATTAAAATTACCCTGAGGTGGGCTGGGGATTTAGCTCAATGGTGCCACCACCTGCCTCGCACAAGGTCCCAAGTTTGATCCCTGATACCAAAAAAACTACACTGAGATTTTCTCTCACCCTAATCAGAATAGCTATCAGCTATTTTTTTTTTAATTCCTCCCCATCAGTGCCCATTGGATCAGCTTGGGGATAGTTAAGAATTTTTGGAGGCATTTTGTTGCCTTGTTTTTTCATGTTTCCATCATTTTTTGTGCTAAGAGTAGAGAATAAATTAAATAAAAATTCCATTGTTAATATGGAGATCTCTTTGGTTAGTATCTCTTTCCCAGTGATGTGATCTGGGCTTTGGTTGTGTACTGTTATTTACATACCTCTTCAACCTATTCAGTTTAATAGGGTCAGGCCTGGTTGTTGTGTCACATGGGCAGAATCGGTACCAGATATATCAACATGAACAGATATAACCATATGGCAATCATGTATATTAAAATATTTTAAACAACTTAAAAGAATGAATTAAAAAAAAACAATAAATGCTGGTGAGGATCCAGGGAAAAAGGAATCCTTCTACAACGGTAATAGAATTGTAAATTAGTACAGATACTATGGAAATCAATATAGAAGTTCTTCAAAAAACTAAGAATAGAACTACCATAAGATCCAGCTACACTACTCCTTGGTGTATACCCAAAGGAATTAAATTGAGCATACTAGAGGGATACCTTTATACCCATGTTGACTGTAGCACAATTCACAATAGCCAACATATGTAGCCATCCTGGGTACACATCAATGAAAGAAAGGATAAAGAAAACAAAACAAACAAACAAACAAACAAATATATATATATGAGTATTTCTCAGCCATAAAGAATGAAAGTATATCTGGAGGAAAATGGAACTAGAGATCAACATGTTGAGTGAAATAAGTCAGATTCAAAAAGATAATTTTGCAAGTTTTCTCTAATATGTAGAATATAAAAAATAAAATAAAGATAATATGAAAGTTGAAGGCAGACAATTATTAGACAAAAGAGAGGAAATAAGGGGGATGGGATCATTGTGTAAAGGACGATATAGGTGGGATGGATACTATGAAAATAGAATACATGTATATATGAAACCCAATATTCTATAAAATTAATATGTACTAATAAAATATATTAAAATAAAGTAGAAAATCATACATAAAAAAGGGAGAAGAATCAAAATTAAGAACTTCAACAGTTACTCACATCTCTAATACAGTCTTAAGTTGTTCAAGTTTGGACTTGTTTTCCTCAATTTCAGAATCGTTATTTTGCCCTAGTTCCATAAGAAGCTGTCGTGCAATATCAAGCACTTCCTATAAAAAAGTTAATAAAGAATTGAATTTTTATGTTATTTCACCATTAAAAGTTTTAAACACAACAAGAAAGCAAATATACTTGCCTGTAATTGTTTTGGTTTTTTGAGTTTTAACTTCCCTGATTTATATCCATCACACTTTTCAAAAAGATCGAAAAATCTTATAATAAAAAAAGATGTAGCACTGTTAGTCACTTGTAAAATTAATATCCCTATCATGTATTTAAATTAATAAAGTGATAGATAGGGCATACGAACTCAAAACCTATGAATTTCACGTATTGTTTTCTCTTTCACTGTACTGTACCATGTCTCTCCTCTACTTTTTTCCCCCAGAAATGGGGGTCTTACTATATTGCCCAAGCTGGCCTGGAATTTCTTGACTCAAGTGATCCTCCTGCCTCAGTCACCTTTGTGTATGAGACTACAGTTGCACTCCACTATCTTACTTTTGCTCCTCTACATTTACTATAAAACATACTACTTTCTTAAACCGTATCAATCTAACAGTTAGCATATTATTTTTTCAAAGTTTTCTCATGATGGAAACTAAACATACAGTTTTTTTGTGGTGCTGGGATATATTCTCTGAAGTCAGTATACACAAATTAAATACCTGTCAACACATACTTAATGACTTAGGTTTTCAAATTTCATCATCAAACACTGAATAGAAATAGCTAGCTTTCTACTGATTTTCTTGTAGAGGGCTGGGAGTTTAATAATTCTCAGAATGCAGTGCAAGAGAATGATAGACCAAGATTAAATAGAACATCTTTACAACAACAAATGTAAGCCAGGTCAGACTGATATTTATGGATATTACCACAATAATTTCCATATGCTAGCATATACAATATTTTTAATGAATTCGCATGGATTTAATGGTTTAAATATTAATGCCAAATATACAGCAAGTAAAAGTTTTCTATGTAATATATTAATCATAAGAAGATAATACTCATCATAATCTTAAATTTATATCATAAATATTAAGTTATTCTTCTTCAAACATACTTTTGGTGCCTCACTTCCATTTTCATTTTTTGTTTTGGTGTTCTATCTCCATGACGTATGACACCTATGACACATCTGAGTTCCATCCTAAAATTTAAAAAATATGTTTTCAATTGTCTAATAAGGATTTGTGCTATATAATTCACATTATTATAATATCAAGATCCAGTCATTTATTTAAACTCCTCTTTTATCTTTTCAAGTTCTTCCCCATGAAGAACAGTACTTATGATAAGCTAGTCTTAATTTTATGAAATCAAACCCTGAAAAGAATTTAAGAGCCAGAGGAGGAACAATAGTAAGATATGCAATACTTTCTCATCAAAGAGATGACAAAGTTAACTCTGGGATAAAAGTACGTGGACTCGGATCTCTGAACATCTGCCCTATAGCATTAGGTAATTATAGACAGATTTCATTCAACCAAAACAAAGCTCTGCTTGATGGCTGTAATATTTATACATTTGCTAGATTTTGCCTGTTTAAGAACAAGTATTTACAACTCAACTTACTGGAAGATAAAACTATTTTAGAAGCATGCTAGAAGAGGTGTGACTGAGTGTTTGCCAAAGTGTGAGCTGAACAGAATCCAGCAATACATTAATAAAAATTATCTGAAAAAAACCTTGTGTTGAAGAAGTTTGAGAAATGTTGGCTTAAAAACCAAAATGGTTTTTTCTCCCAATCAGACTTTTCAGAATATTTAACATGTTAATATAAACCTCTCAACTGTGAATATGAAGCATTTAGTCAACTCACCTAACTTTTCATTGAGTAATTTTCTTTAGTAAAATGTTATGAAACACTTTGGCAATATTGATCTAATTATTATTATTATTATTATTTTTTTTTTTGGTACCAGGTATCGAACTCGGGTCCTTGTGCTTGCGCAGGAGGCAGCGAAACCACTGAGCTAAATCCCCGGCTTGATCCAATTATTCTACCTCAAGGTATAACTGGAGAGAGCTGAAGTTGTATAACCACTATGAACCTTTCAGCAATGTACCTACTGGCACCTCTTTTTGTGGTATGGCTTGATTATGTAGTTCTATAATTACTCAAGCATGTTCCAGGATTTTATTTGTAAGAATATCAGAGACTTTTAGTCTAATGGACCTCTGCAAAAGCACACAATCTACTCTTCCATAGTCAGCCTTGATTATATGAAAATATACATCATGTAGTACCTATGATCATTCAAAATTTTATTTTTTTTTGGTATACCACTGACTGACAGGAAAACTCAAGGAATTTCTAAATGAAAAGAATTCAAACTTACATAGTCCCAGATGTAGTTGGTACAATTGGAATATCTTCAGCTTCTAAGGGTATCGACCAGGGGATATGAAATTGTGGAGCAAGCTCTCGCATTACAATGTTTCTTCAAGACAAAAAAAAAAAACCAACCCCTAAAAATCAGTTCATTTAAAGATAAAACAGGACAGAATAATAAAGAATCCTAAGGTGAACTAGTGAATACATAAAAGCTCAAAGAATCAACCCTGATGAAGAAAAAACAGATCACTACTTCTAAATTGGTGTATCAGAAGACTAAGGAAATGCCACAAATCTTTAGTTTTAAAATATAAGTCAATATTGGAATTATATAAATCACTATAATTAGATCATTTCTTATTACATACATCCTGGAATTCAAGACTCTTTTCTGTGTGAATACTGATCATTATTTTTCATATTATTCACTGAACACCTGTAACCATTCTAAACATCACGCTTACTTTATTTATTTATTTATTTTTGGTACTGGGGATCGAACTTGGGTTCTTGAGCTTGCAAGGCAGGCGGTGAAACCACTGAGCTAAATCCCCGGCCCTCATCACGCTTACTTTTAACAAATCACTACTATACTAATAAGCAGAACAATGAAAACATGCTTAAGTAATGATATGGGTTTTTGGTGTTGTTTATTCATGCTAAAATTTGGTGAACAACCCTCAATTTCACTTTAAGGATAAGTTCACAAATGTTTGAAACATGCTAAAAAGATGGCTCTCATTATTAAACATTTTAAAGCATTAAGTTTCCCATGGCTTTGTCATATATACTTTGAAATTTAAAAAATAATTTTTGCTTTGCTGGTTTTCTCAATCAAGGTATGAAGAAAATAGGTCAACAAATACAAAAGTGCTACTTCTATATGCAATGAATTAAAAAAAAAAGTCCTGAATTTCAAATCTCTATTTTACTAGGTTATTGATCTCACGTATGCTAAATTTTGTGCAATCAAATAGGACAATAAAATCTTTCAACTATTATTACATAGCAATAACTTGAGGAATATTTTGATTAATCATTTCTACATCTATGAAATTAAAATCTTAAGGCCTCATTTATAATGATCATAAATTAATATCTTTGATATCTTTAAATAGAATTCACGTTCTGGTACAATCTTTGAGATTGTCATTTTATGAACATTGAGTTTTAATCTAGAATGCTTAAAAATTGCTATTCAGCTAGTATTAACAATTATTTGGTTTCTGAATAACTAGAAGCAAAGGTAAAGAGAAGAAAAATTAATACTTACCCAAGTATTTTTGCACAATCATCATAATACTTCATGGAATTTTTCACAAAACTGAAGCCATTGACATCACAGACATAGGACTGTCCATTGGCCCGTAATAAATCAAAGCCACAAACTGTTTGCTATTTAAAAGAAGTTACAAACTTTAACATTTCAATTATCATAATTCAGTTTTCCAGTCTCATTAGAACATATACTCCATAAACGCCTAAAAGTATATTGTTATATGTTGGTTTACTACATGGTAAGAATTAAATTAAACTACTTATTTGTAACTGCAATACTCTGAGGATACATTATGTATTCCACATATTCTAGTTATTTAAGCTCCTGATGATGAACAAGGGACTAGAGAGGCAAAATAAGAGTGTATTATATCAAAAAATCTTCCACTAACACTTAAATTTTAAAAAGAAATAATTTTAAAGGTTTTGATGAATAAATTTTACACTAGTAGAAATTAGGTCATCTTAACCACTGCTCCCCTTGCAAAAGGAAAAACGTTTATAAAGACAAACTCTAGAGGAAGTGTTCAATTAACCCTGCAAATCTTTTACAATCTGGCAAATACTTATGAGTAAGCACTGGAAATAAATTTGATTTATGTGAAAGAAGAAAATCATTGAAAGGGGTAAATTTCCTGCTCAAGTTATAAGAATTTTCTTAAGCTCTAGATTTTATGTTCAAATCATCATGCATTAGTATAAGGTAATTTTAAGTCATAATTTTTAGAATCTTAGCATAATCAAATAATTTATAAAAATGTATTAAAGCTTATTTAGAGGCTAACATTCTAAGTAAATAATACAACTAGTTTTTTAAAAAATAGGTTAACCAGTACCCTAAACTCTGGTTAGCTTGGTTATTCTCTGCAATTTAAATTTATGAATAAATGGATACTATTTCCTTCCATATGATACAAAAAGATTATATTGGCACTACAATACAATATATTAGCCCTAGAAGAACCCCTTGAGAAGTACATGAACATTTCAGATGTACTAATTATGGTCTCAGCTTACTTCTCTAATTTTAAGTCCAAATAATGTCTCTTACTCAAAAAGGCAAGTTAAAATTCCTTTTACAAGTGCCAAATGGCTTGTACTGCATCTTACCTTAAAAGCAAGGCAGACTTTCCAAGCAATTAATTTCTCTCGTGCATTGAGAATAACAGGGTATCTTACTTCCTTTCCTTCACTGTCTCGTTCTACCTTGCCATCAAGTGCTGGAGATTTTCGAGCTTCAGCATGAGCATAATCTGGACCCACTGTGTAAACCTTTCACAAATATTAAATATACAATGCAAATATAAAACCACAAACAATAAGTTCCAAGAAAAAAATCAATAAAGTAGTTCAGACTCAACTATTAGAAAGAACTTTCTATTTTACATGCCAAAATTTTATATATATTGGAATGTAATTACTTACTCATATATGGCCAAAAAGTGAGATTTCATTTTCTACAGAAAACTCTGATACCAGCCATTATATTCCCCAAATTGTTGTAGTTTAACAGAAAAATAGGAAAAATTATAAAACATTATGGAAGGAAAAAACTTTTTAAAAAACATTTAAAAACTTTTAAAAAAACATTTAAAAGAGGATGAGGGAATGAATACAAGTGCAGACAAGAAAAGGAAAGGCATTCTAAGCAGAGGTAATGAACATAAAAGCAGAGGGATGAAACTCATATTCAGGCAACAAAAAAATTATTTGATGTAGTCTATACCATAAGAAATGAGATTTATAAGACAGAGGACAGACTGAAATATCTTGTTTGCCAGGCTTATGAATCTACTTCTTATCCTGAGAATTCATCAGAGAATTTTAAAGGACAGGTTTGGTTCATGATCAAATTTATGCTTTAGAAAGAACACCCTCGTTAGAGAAAGACAGACTATAAAGGCAATGGTATTAAGATCTCCTTTGTCATCAACTGAAATCCTTGGCATTTTTACCACGTTCTGGTTGCCATAGGTCTGAAGACGCCATTTACACTAATCACTGCTTGGAAACTGGTGGCCAGTAATACTCTCACCCTGATATGTTGTTATTTAATGTCCCTTTAAAGAATCATATACGTATTATTATATCAAAAAGTTTCAGTTTTAAATATTTCAATAACTACACTTCAATAAAAACTGACTCCTCCTTTGTGGTTGCTTTATTTATTCATTTTGAGATGCTGAGGACTGAAGCATTGGGTGACATTTACACCTCTTTTAAATATATATATATACTTTTTATATTTTTAACTTTGAGACAGGGTCTCTGTCATTCTGTCAGTTCACCAGGCGGGGCTCAAATTTACGATCCTTCTTCCTTAGCCTCCCAGAGTCCTAGGAAGACAGCCACGTGCCACCGTGCATGCTTTCACGTGTGTTTTTAAGTATTCAAGAACACTCGTTTTTTTTAAAGGGTTCATAAGCTTCCAATTGCCAAAGGTGCTCACATGGAATGAAGCAGATTAAGAATCCCTAATCAAAAAGAAAGAGATCCAGAACAGAAGTTAGAAGTAGCTACAGGGTTATCTCTTTTTCTGAGATTACTGGTAAGCTCAAAATCCAAAACTAAAACCGACATAGTTTGACTTGAGGTTTTTTCCACTTGATTTATGCTGGTGCAAAGACAATACACATTGAGAAATCATACTTTGAATTTTGGTCTCTTCCTGAGCCATTGATATGTGTCTATTGATATTGGTCTCACACTCCCATGATGCACGCCAGTGAGTCACAGCTTCTAGGCAGCCGCGCAATCGTGAGCACAGTAATACTCCAAGATACACTGTCACTAAAATACTGTTTCCAACATGGTAAGTGTAGCAAATGCTTTTTGAATGTATGGCATGTTCAGCTGTCGAAGAATTCATCATCTTGTTGCAACCCCAATTTATAAGTTAGGCGCATCTGTACTTTAACCTGTTCTATAAGAACATCAGTACCACTATATATCCAAGATTATAATAAACTTTCAATCCTACCTTAACATCAGTACCATCTGTAGGCATAAATTCTTCATATATATATGACCCTGTTTTTCGTACATTGCTTTCTGGGGAATATACACTACTTCTACTGCCAATCTGAAAATAAAAGATGTCCATCAAAATAAAAATCAAATTATTTTCTTCATATTAATAATACAACCCTTATTTACCATCTATTTCAATCTTAGAAGCTTTCAAATAATTGATTAATCCATATTTAACAATGATCATATATTTGGTACTATAGTATTTTCTGCTGCCTCTGTAAATTATATATAAGTTATAGGGAATAAGAATACAATAAACACAAACTACTGTTTCTAAGTTTCAGCCATGTTGGTACATGTTCATTTTTACTACTACAGCATTTTCAACTGTGTAAATATAATCAAGAATGCATTCATTCTTCTATCAGTGTACATTTAAGTTGCTTTCCAAGCTTTGGTTGTTACAACAATGTTGCTTTAATCCTTTTTTTAGTATATGTGCTGCCGAAGCCAGCACAAGCTTTAAAGCTCTTTTTAAGTGTCATCATGCCATATGTGCACAATTGTGCTTCTAAGGAATTACTAGGAAGTTCAGGCTCAGCTTTCAAAAATATTGCCAAAATCTTTTAGAAACTATTTCAGTAATTTAGTTTCACCAGCAATACGTAAGAGTGCCAAGTGTTCTACATTCTTGTCTGTACTTGGCGCTGTTAGCCTCTAATATTTGCCACTATAATGGATACTAAAATGGTATCTCATTGTTCTTTAAATTTTATTTTATTAATACATATTTGCAATATATAAAGTTTACATTCATCTTAGGGAGTAGGTACTAACATATCTTGATATTTTTATTGCTTTTCCCCTCCCCACCCACCACATCCTTGATTATATAGATGCACTTTTAATTCTGACTCATTGCTAAATTATATTGTTAAGAGGCTGAATTCCTGCCAGTAATTTTTGGGAATTATGCTTATTTCCCAACTATTCAGCATTTTTTTGTCTCTGCCAATCCAAAAATAATATAGTATCATTATACTTCAGATTTAATTTGCATTAAAATATATTCATGTAAGTAGGTTATTAGTATTGCTTTTTACTTTTTCTATAAGCTGTTTATTTTTCTGGGACATTTTTCTAAGACCGCTTATTATTAACCAGATTGCTAGTCTTACAGAAATACAAATAAAAGGTAAAATGAAAAATCAGGTAATTTTTTTGCTTGGTATTCTGTAGATAGCAATTTTATTTAACAAAATTAAATAATCACCAGGATGCCTTGCTTTTCTAACACAGTATGGCATCAATTTTATGAATTTATCTCTACATAAAACATTTCAAAGAGTTCAGTATTTAATCATAATTTTATTAAATGCTTGATTACTTTCTATAAAATTTATATTATATTTAATACAGTTTATACAAGAATGAGGAACACTATACAAAATTACAAAAGTTCACCTTTCTAAAGAGTCTCTGACTTCCACCTCCAGCAGAAGTTGGATAATAAATGTAAACATTGTGATCTTCTGCACTGACTGGCTTTTCTACAAATGGCTTTTGGAAAACTTCCCCATTTACTTCTACATGATCTTCCCCTTCAATCAGATTGCATTCTACAAACCAAATAAAATAGCAAGAAAAATTACAGACCATATTATATTATCTAGATTACATTTTTCTGAACCAAAACACAATGCAATTTATTCTGCTTTCCAGCAAAACTATTTTTAAGCTTTCCTAGCAAAAGTGAATTTACCTTGTTTTAATAACATTCACGAGAAAGAAAAAATTTATACCAAGAATTCTCAAGTCTGACTGCATGTTATAATCACCCACCTTCGGAAGCTTCTGGAAAACTACTGATGCGGGATGTTGGGGGCTGGGAAGTCTAGCACAGAACTTTTTTTAAAAACCTCCCTTGTGATTTTGATTTGCATCTAGGGTTAAAATTTTGTTCTTTTCAAACCTCCAAAAACTAACATTATAACACAGTAATATTCATCATCAGCAGAACATTTCCCCTGGCAAATCTACATTAGCAATTAGTGCTTTTGAAATGGATGAAAGCACACTTCAGCACAGTAACTTCCTGTTCCATTTATATCTTCTATTTCCTGCCCCCATGGAGAGTTTACATGTTATTTTTAGATAACCAGGGAAAAAAGTGTAACAGGTGCCTTCAGATATTAACACTATTATTTCAAAATTTCTAGTTACCAGATACTTAATCTTGGCATTATAGCATGTCATACATTAGTCACTTGCTCTTTCCTAATCAATACAAATCTACTAACCAGGCAATCAGAAAATTCGCTTTTGTGATTCTTAGAGGTATGTCAAATGTAGACCAAAAAAAACTAGGACAGATAATCCTAAATTATCAGTGAACCTTTTACCTCATAATGTTGTATTAGAATTGAATATAATACTTGTTGGTTTAGTCATTAAGAAAAATATTAAGTGAAATATTATGAATTCTTTAAATTTCTTCTACTTAATCATTACAGAGAAGCAGCCAAAAGTAAGTTAAGTGGCAAAAGGTAACTTGCTTAAAATCTCTTACTTTTACCTTTGGGGTTATTTGGATCACGGTTCAAAATCGCGTAACGAGGAAGTAAGATACCTTCAGCTTGAAGAATACTATATACTTCTCTCCTAAAGAGAAAGAAGAACACCCCTATTGTTTTAATGGTCTATTTCACATGAGTATATTATTGTACTTTGTAAAATACATTACTGTTCTACTATTAAAAAGGGTATGTATATTGAGTCTTTTAAAAAAAATAGTATTTCAAATACTAAAAATGTTTTCTAAGGAAATGTTCAGCAATGAGAGCAGAAATTGAATACCTTTTTGTAGCATATTAAAACACTAATTTTAAAACAAGAATGTAATGCTAAAAAGAAATGGATAAATCAAGCTGATATATTCCAGTCACAGACTATAACCTGACCATTAAAAAACCTGCACTCAGATAATACTTAATGTCATGGAGAAATACACATAGAATGCTAAGAGAAGGTGTTTCAATATGACTTTGTATATGTATTGCTCTCTCCAATTAAGTACTGTATTGCTCTTTATATATGTATTATACAAAAATACAGTAGCTACAATGATTAGTTTTATGATTTAATTTTTCAAACTTCTTAGAACAGGAATTTTATATGTGCATATATTTGTTTTATATATATATATAAATATGTACTTGTTTAAACCAAAAAAAACTGTTTTAAATGTTTAGAGAGTAGTAATCTACTGTCTGAGAGCATAGAAAAAAACAAAAATAAAAAACAGAGGACTAGAAAACTAGTTTCTATTTTATAAAATATTTTCATATACAATCTCATAATGGTTACACAAAAAATGCTGGTGAAATTGTAAGGGTAGCTATCAGTGAAACATCAATTACATAAAATACATGAATATATTCCTATTTTATAATTTCTTTCAGAAATATATTATTTTGGTTTATTCAATGAATGTGAAGATAAATAATAAAATATTTTAAGTAAGTATACTTCACCATTAAAAATACAGTTACAGTCACATGATAAAAAAACTAATCTTCCATAGTTTATTAGGCTTTGGAAATTAAACTAATATAGTTTAAGTCCTTGTCTAGCTACCTGGACAGCTACTTGTCACTTTGGAAACATTAGTTAATTTCCCTGATAAGTTTCCTCATCAGTAAAATTAGCTAATAAGTATCTATTGTTGAGCATTATTTTAAGAATGCAATGAGTTAATATCCGTGAAAATATCTGATGCTATGTCAGTGTATATGACAGTATGTACTAATTAAATGTTAATTTTCCTTCCCTTAATTTAGCCAAGTTTACCACTCACCTATCTTGTATGAGATACTGCATATTCAAGTCATTGATTACAAATGGATTCCTGAGTTTGGCATAGGCAACTGCTTTGTCCAGTGGAAATCCTAAGAACACATATTATTAACATATTCTGCACAATCTCAAGATAAATTGACATCTATAATTTTAGAAACTTCAACTGATGCCACTGCCCATAAAAGAATAATTTCATTATGCACAGACTGCCTTCTATAAAAGGTATAGAATATATAGACGCTGATTTAACTTATATTATTAAATCTCATTTTTTCCTAGTTAATGTCATTGATAAGGCACATCAAGTCAGTGATTATATAGCCAAATGCGAGCACTGACATGTTTCTTGATGTATGTTTAGTCATCTGATAACCTCATATACAAAGAAAAATCTATATATAAATAACAGAAGTGTATCACAATCACCTAATGATTTTTAAATACACTGTATATACAACTCTTTCATTTGATATTTGCATGTCTATACATGCAAATGTATAAATGAGTTGATATTCAAAGAACTTATGTACCTTTCAAAATAGCAAATATAAAATTTAACTCACATGCAAAATATATGCTCAAAATATAAAATAAATGAGCACATTCATGCTGCTGCTGTCACTGTTAGACAACAAAATTAATTTCTTAAAATTTCTAGACTTTTATAAAATTACTAGTTAGAATGTAATCAAATCAAATGGTAGATATGGTAAAAAGAAGCATTAAAAAAAAATCTAAAGAATTGATTGACTGATTGGTACTGGGGACTGAACTCAAGGCCTCTGCACTGAGCGACATCCCCAGCCTTTTTTTACTTTTTATTTTGAAAAGGGATCTCCCTAAGCCCAAGTAGAGCTTGAATTTGAAATCCTCCTAACTCAGCCTTACAGAGTGTGGGGATTACAGGAATCTACCACCACATTCTGCTAAGAACTTCAATGTTCACATTTAATTCTTGATATTGATGGCGAAAGTCTCCAGTAGTATCCACCAATATACATTAACACAGGCAGTAGACCCAAGCATGATAGCGCATGCCTGTAGTTCTAGCACTCAGGATGCTAAGGCAGGAAGACTGCTTGAGCCTAGGAGTTTGAGACCAGCCTAGCATTTAAGAATTTAAACTAGGGCCAAGGATATAGCTCAGTGGCACTGTGCCTGCCTCGCAAGTGCAAGGTTCTGAGTTCGATCCCTAACATCAAGAAAAAAAAAAGAGTAAAACTAGTTCATAACCTGGCTCCATCTTTCATTAGCTATGTTGTAACCTTGGACAAACTTATTTAACATCTCTACAACTACAAACGAGGATATCAGTCTTACCTAGTAGGATTTTAAAGAAATTAAATAAAAATTATGCTAGTACAGTACCTGGCATAGTAAGTCCTTAATAAATGCTATCTATTATTCCTTATGTGACAATATTTTAATGAATATCTTTTCTGTAGAAAATGATAAAAATAGCAAGAATGTACAACTTTAGGATTTAACTAATGAGCACTAAGCATATTAGTGAAGACATTATTTTTGCAATATTAAAAGAAAATTAGAAGACAAAGCACTAGCACATACTAAAATTTAAAAACAAAACACAAAAAGCTATGCTTGGTGAAACAAGACTTATTCCTAAATTTCTTAGTTTTTAAAATTTAAGCAGATACTCTATGCTAAGAATCAGCCATAAATTACATATCCTTCGAAGTCCTGAGAGTACTCTCAGAATTTCTCTCTTACAAAGATGTCTCAGATTTCAAGCCTCCTAACAGAATTTAGCAACTAGAAAAGAGCTATAGTCAGTTCCCTGCTTCTATTGCTATCAAAGAGGAACGTTTTCCTTATCAAGAAACAGTATGGGATGTGGCTTAGGTACAGCACCCAGCTTTTAGAGGCGAACAGTTTTTACAGAAAGAATCATGTGACTGTGAAGGAAAAACATCTTACCCTCAATATATGCAAGGTTTAAAATCTGAAATAAGGGGTGTCAGAGATTTGACTCTCCATTTAATAATGAAAATCAATTTACACTGTAGGAGCACAAAGTCTCATGCCTCCCCTTCTTCCTATTGAAGTGCAACTTTAACAGCTCAGACTACAGATTTTAGTAACAGGGCGATTAAATACCATGTGAATATGTTTATAATGGAAAAGATCTTTTAAATTATAGTTCTTAGTGGGAAATTCACTTAACTTATAGATTTTTAGATTATAAATTTTCAGATAAACAATAATTCTGATTAGTGAATTTTACAGTAAATTTTAATATTAAATCTTAACTGATATTTCTGATTAATATAGGCTAGTAAGATGAAAAATTGTAAATATTAAGTTCTTTAGAAATAAGTTATAAATATAGATATGAGGAATGATAAGATTATTTTCTATATGGCAAAAATATAGGGCTTAAAATATGTAATAAGTCAAGAATTTATCCCAGAAACTCAAATGCAAACAACGATATATATTCAAAGAGCTGATTACAACCTTGGTTTTAGTAATGAAAACTGAAATTCACCCAAATGTTCAGATATTAGTTAAATATGTTATGGCACATCTCTCAATGGTATACTAAGCTACATTAAAAATGAGGTTACTGAAGAATGATATAGAAGGATAAAAGCCCCTCTTGATAAAACTGAAAAAAGGTAACTGCATACTTACACTATGACACTAATTTTAAAAAATGCAGAAGAAAGACGGAAGGAAATTTATCAAAATGTTAACACTACTTATCTATGAAGTGGGTTAGTTTAATTTTATTTGTGTTTTATCTAATCTATAGTTAATTATGTAGTAGTTTTTTAATCAAAAAAGATAAAGGAGATCCCTCTTCTTTAATACCTTTAGAATGGAAAGAAATAAGACAATCACATAAAGGCCAATTTTCCACTGGTTCATTCAATACAACTTCCTCTTCAAATACTACTACTGTGATATATTTAAATAAGGAGATCCGTTCCAGAATTTCCTTCATTGGTTTGGATTTAGATTTCTTTGCCATGGAACATATTCCAACTACAATCTGCCTTTCTGGAGGCTAAAACAGAAACAAAATTAAAAATCAAGTTAACTTAATATGAACTCCAAAATATAACTGTCTTAATTTCATTTCAAAAGTAGATGAGGCATGTGATAAATCAATAAAAGTGACACACTAACCAACAAAAGCATTTCAAAAATTTTTATCATTATAATAAAAACTTTTAAACAAAATAAATTTTCTACAAAAGGAGAGACAAACTGTAGAAAACCATTTTCAGAGTCTTGTTACAATTTTCAATCAAACTTAGTACTTAAACAAATTCCCCTTCTTTAACTGTTGGTAACATTTGTGTACTTTCCTCAAAGCAGAAAAGGGCAAATGACAGCCAAAATGAATCTAATGCAAGTGAAAAGGCCAATGGAAATGAGATAAGGAAATTTCTTGCAAAATAAGATGCAGATGTGGTTCCAACTGCAAAGTTACGAGACATTCAAGGACAGTATTCTTGTCTACTGAGCTGCAATATTAGTTGGTCACAAATGACAAATTCAATGGAAATTTTAGAGAGCCACATTGCTAACAGAACTATCAAGATTCTTTGACACTCCAATCTTCAAACTCAATACCCCTACTTATGGCTCAAATATCATAAATCAGTTTAAACTAAAAAGGCAGAAGACAGAAATAGTAACAGGATTCATAAAATTACTCGATTCATTCTGGGGTCTTAGCATTCAAGTGTTTAGATTTATCAACCATATAAAGCTGTGTCCAAAAACAAAAAGCTTTGTCCAGTTTGTCATTTCTTCCCTTGTATATGATTTTATATATTTCACATGACATTAAAATCTAGGCTCTAAAGTATATTAGACTTTATCTAAGAATTTAATATAACAACAAAATTGGATTGGATAGCACTGGAATGAAATGGTTCTTCTTTATTCCTAGACCTATATTTCTACAATGTTTCTTCTAACTCATGAAATTTAGCATTCACATCAGTATTTATATTTGATTATAAATTGTAATCTTCCTGAGATCTGCTGTCTTTATTTTCTCTTCTCATCTACTTTTATGTTCCCTTATTCAACTTATTCCTGATCAAAAAGTCTTGATATATCTCATTATAATATTCCGTCAGTCTTTTTCCCAGGACAAAAGTACTCAACCTAACATTTAACACTACTTTAATCTTTAAAAAAAAAAAGAAAGAAAAGAAAACTAATATATTGTGTGGTTCTATTACAGATCTATGTAATGAATACGTGCTTACTGGCTAAGATAAACAGGAAACATTCACATTAAAAATATGAATAAACAAATCTATATTTTAAGACATGATTAACAAAATTTTATTAGGTAAAACCTCAGAAGTACAAAAATAATTTTTAAAACAAATCTGAGTTATTTTGTTAGATTTAATTTCTAAGAAAACAAAAGTTCATTTTGAAATCTTAATAGGAAAACAATCTGGAATAAATCATTTTATGAAGCTATAGGTTAAATGAACCAAATAAAGCTCTTTGAAAGTGACAATTGGGAATCATTTTTGCAAGCTCAGTTTATCACCAATATTCCAGGAACTATATTAACTACTGAAGATTACATATACAAAAGTAGCTGTTCTCAGAGTACGTTGAGTGTAACAGGGAATATAGCACACTGTAAAATGGAACAGATGTACATATCAAGGTACTGACATAGTACTAAGGAAGAAGTGATCAAATTTCTCATGGGGAAAAGAGCAAGAAGAGTGGCAAGAGTGAAAGACATGAAATCTGAGCACGGTTCTGAAGATTAAAACATAATGAATTCACCAACTACTCCAAAACAGGGTTATGTCAGAGAAATCAAGAAGCACACATAAGAGCAAAATTGTGCAGTACAAAAGCATGGAATATATGGAAATAAAAATTTTGATGTTACTGAAATATAGAGGGTTGAAAGGATGAGAGAGAACACGAGAGGAACTGGGTAAAGCCAGTAGAAGCTGGATCAACAGTGCTTTCTAGTCTGAGTGAGCCACAGAAGCCCTGCGTTCTTTTATGTCTTATTTACTGGACGACTTCTACATAAAACTTCAGATGAAGAAAAGTTTTGAATGCTAACAGAAAACCTTGACAATCATTATTTGTTCAGGGTTACTGGGTGTTTACCTCTGAAGCCTGCTGCATAGAAGGTTTTAAATTAGTGACGGTCCAATTTGGATTTCATACACACACACACACACACACACACACACACACATATAAAACTCCACTGTAAACAACACTGTTCTTATGAAAAAGTTTAAGAGTTATCTAATAGCTACTTTTGGCTTGATTTTTACTACTTTCACCAAGTGTAACAGGTTTTGCTTTTAAAATAAAAATTTCTTTCCAATTTAAAATACAAGAAACATAAACATATTGTAAGTCTGCATTTTAAATTAGTCCTCAGAATAAAGCAATCTCTACTTGTAAAAAGAAAGCAATGAGTAAGAAAAATGTTGGACTGAGGCAACTGCAGCAAAATGAATATAATAGATGGGTGTCGTTCCTAAAATCCAGTACCTGTGTAACATTCTAATATATCAGAAGAAACATGGAGCGCACACTCACATCGATACTTGAGGTAGCCTCTCCTAGCCACTCATTCTGTGAACTTCTGCACTGTTAACAGCACCATCTGTGGTTCAACTGGTACTTTCACCGACAACATTAAACTTAACAAATTTGGTTAGTCTCCCTTCTATTTCTTTATCTTGATATATTTGTTATACATTTTGTATACAAGAAACCTTTTTGATTTATGGCCCAGATTTCTGTTTTTCTCAGCCACTACCACTACCCAATCCTGAGTTACACTATGCACATTACTGAGAGAAACTAAGGCATCATTAGACAACTTAGAAATTTCATCCCTAACTATATTTCCAGTAGTATTTCTTTTTTTTTAGTATTTCTTGATTCACCATCGATTCAATAACATCATTCATAAAACAAAACATACATTTCAGTATAAAATATTTCTAACAAATTCGTAAATGAAAAAAGTATTAATTTAAAAGCATAGTATTCATTTACATTAGCAGTGATCAGTAAAAATCCTATACTGCCCTGGTCTCCCACCAAACAAACAACTTACAGACTCATCTTCTTCCTCTTCCTCTTCATCTGCATGGTGGAAGAAATGCCTATAACTTCCAGGATTTATTTCTGTATCTTCAGGTCCAACAAAGAATCTGGGAGCTTCACTCATTTTTATTTCATTTGGTGGAGATATAATTTAAATGATCTATATTAAAACTGCTTCTGCATAAGTAGCATCCGAGGAAAGGATTTTTCTATCCTAGTTGGCACATGTGTCTGCTGTTATTTTGTTTCTTCTTATACAATCACTGGAAATTGTGATGACAGTTAGTTGGCAAAAGCTCTTTTGTTCTCAGATATCAGTGCTTCATTGTTGATATGTTTAAAATACAGTGAGGCTATTGCTTCCCTGAGTTGATACAGCTATTTTTTTTTTACCTAAAATGCAATAAAAAATTAATTTGGAGAGTGTACTTCAAAAATATACATGTAAAAATAACTTAAATGACACAAAATCAGCACCAATAACTTCACAAATACCATCAAAACGAAAATATATCTTCTTTCACAAAATTAAGAAAAAGATTATAATGCTCAGTAAAATACATCATAGAAATTTGACATGATACAAAATAACAAAAGAATCTATAAAAAATTCTTCAAGTTCAAAAGTATCTAACAAATTAAGAGAAAATTATTCAAAAATTTAAAGAACACATTAATAGTTAAATCCCTCAGCACATATTTCAGAAGTATCTGAATGGAAAAATACAGATAAAATATAAGGTGGAGCCTAAAACCACTGAAAACTGAACATTCATCTGAAATTACATTAACTCAGTATGAAAAAAATTTTGCCAGGCATGGTGGAGTACACTTGTAATCCAAGCATTCTAGGCATTCTATGGCAGGAGAAACACAAGTTCAAGCCTAGACTGGGTAACTCAGTGACTTGGTGAGACTCTGTTTTAGTACAAAAAAATTTAAAAAGACTCTGGGGATGTAGCTCAGTGCAAAGGCCCAGTGTTCAATCCCTAGTACCACAAGAAATAAAGTTATTTAGGGGATGTAACTTCATTCTGGTCTTATATATACATCAAGAATAATAACAACAACAAAAGATTACAGAGAAAATAAGATTTCATTCCAAAAATAGCTCTTAAACTTAGCAAATTGTGTATGTGTGAGTAGAAGTCAACCTTGTCTACAACCCATGGGATACAAAAAAGTGTGTATCCCATAGATTTTTTTCCCCAAACATAAATGAATACGTTTCCCCCCCCCCTTTTTTCACTTAATTCAAACTCAGTTTCATTGTTTAATGTGTTCAAGGGACATAGTTATATATCTCTCATTTGAGTACAAACTTAGATCTGCAACTATGTCTTTTTCATTCACTTGAAGAAAGGCAAGAGATAAATCAACAAATAAATATATGTTAGGAAGACCTCACTAATAAGACATTTAAAGAGGAATTAAAATTCTATTAGGAAGTCAGCCATGGGGTTATACAAGTATTTTAGGTAAGAAACATAAAATATTAAAGGTCAAAAGAGAGAAGTGTATTTGGCCTATCTGCTATATTCAGGGAATAGTAAGGAGGCTGGAGTACAGCACGCAAGCAACAGAAGAATGGTAGAAAGTGATGTAGGAGAAACAGCAAAGATGAAGGCAGAAGGCTGGGAAAACAATTTCAACTTTATTATACTGTATTTAAGAAAATGGGAGAGGGGAAGTAAGAGGACATATACACAATTCTTTTGAAAAATTCTGTTACAAAGGCAGAAAGAACAATTGAGCCTCTGAAGAACAAAAGGTTAAGGAAGGCTTTACTCCTGTAATTCCATTTCAATATATGGGAGATACTTACAGATATTATAAAAGGGCTGAACAGGTTAGTGGTTAAGAGGATAGATTCAGAAATAGAAGCAAAAATACTTGGGCTGAAATTTTGAGTCCAATAACTGTATAACCTTGAACAATTTTTCAGGGCCTCAATTTCCTCATCTGTAAATTGTTCCTTCCCATAATTTATTGCAAGGATTAAATATAAGATAATACATTAAACATGCTTGTGTCTCAATTTCTAGGTCATACTCTATATAATTAGAATATTTGAGAGGAGGGCTCACATATTTTTAAGGTTTCCCAGGTGATTTCCATAAGCAGCCAAGTTTATGAACTCACGTACTACCCACCAAAAAAGGAAAGGACGGTAGGACAACAGAAGTGGATAAAAGGCAAAACATGCATTCACCACTGATATTAGTATGCTATTAGTACAGGAAATCTGAGTATCTCTGGCAAAAAAAAGGAGATAAAACAAACGAAACATCTCAAGTACCCAATAAATATTCCTGCACAAAACTTTGCCTTAACAATATTCAAGTCTTCTCTTCATGATTCATTTTGACCCTCGGTCACCTACAACCTTACCATTACTTAACAGTTTGGGTTATTTATATCCAAAATATGAACCTCAAGGGAATGAATGTTTATTAAACATTGTTATTTATTAAGTACTTAATTTGCTCACAAAGGGCTTCCAAACATGTTGTCTCACTATGCATGAGCTGTAAGTATGGCAAGAAGTTTTCTCAGCTATTAAAAGAGTAAAACAGCTTGCAACCCTCCTGGCCAGTTGCCTGGATCAGCACTCTCTTCAGTTTTTCTAGAATATAGTACAAAGACTAACAATTTCTATATATGCCTTACTATGAAAAAAGTTCAAAAGCACTTAGTTACTACCCCTGGGATTAGAGTTGGGGTTGTTTGTTGTTTGCTTGTTTGCTTGCTTGCTTTGTGCAGTACTAGGGACTGAACCCAAGGTCTCTGCACTATTTTGTAACAGGGTCTTGCTAAGTCCCTAAGTTGTCCAGGCTGCTCTCAAACTTGTGACCCTCTTGCCTCAACCCCCCAGACTGCTGGAACTGTAGGCATGCACCACCATGCCTGCACATTTTCCTCATTTTATAAATGCTTTCAGGATAGAGGCATGGCCCATTTCATTACTAATGGACACTTAAGGCTCAGAGTCCAAGTAATTTGAAATTGATAAAAATCAATCAATGATCAGCCATTAAGAGCTGCAAATGAACATTCTAGAGTATCTGTATTTTAAATAATTTTTTTAGATAATTGAACCAAGTAGTTTATGCAGCTAACATTTCCACATTATTCAGCATTCTGATCAATGTTCAGCCATGAATTCCAAAATATATTAACTGTCTGGCCTTAAAGATGTGTACACTATTCAAATATCAGAACTGAACCTTTACTTTTAAGATTCCTTCTACAGGAGTGGTCCTGAAATGGACTGGTTACATTACAATTATGTGGAACACTTGTGAAACACAAATTACTGGGTCTATGACAAATTTTCCTAAGCAGTAATTCTTAACTAGAGAATCTATATTTTAATGAATGGATGAGCAGGCAGGTTTCAGAAACTCTTTAAAAATCTGTGCAAAAGACAAGCATCCTTGACCTTAACCTTGATTTCTGAATTTAAAATGACTATCATCCTACTAAGCTTTCCTCACTAAAGGCAATATGTACTATAGTTCTCAAATTATAGTATACCTTAGAATCTCCTGGAGGGCTTGTTAAAATACTGAAGTAAAAGGTCTGGGGGTGGAGGCCCATAGTTTGTCCTTCTAAAACTTCCAGTGTCATACTGATGCTGATGTTGCTTGACTTGGAATTACGATTTGGAGAACTGCTCTAGAAGACTTTGACAAAACCGAGTTTGAATGATTTTTCTGAAACTTGCTCAGCTCTGTGCCCTTAACCAAGTTACTGAACCTCTCCATCCATCATCTGTAAAATTGGATTATAAACGTTATAGTTTTGAAGATAAAATAACAATATAGATCCCATTATAACTTGCACATGTAAAGGACTCAGAAAGGTTAGCTGTTTATATATTTTGTTAACTGTTGTTCTAATGAAGACAGATTTCTGACCTTAATTTAACTGGCAAGGGACAAATACAGATTCAGACCTGGTTAGAACGTACCCACTTATCTTCCATCTAAAAGAAGCCACTGCAACTCCTCTTTTCTACTACCACTGCTGGATAAGCCATTACATCTTTTCCAGTCATCCACACTATCTGAGACCTACAAGAGCACTAACGCCTCGGATAAACAGTCTTCTTTCACACTTTTACTGGGCTCGGCCAGCACCACCAGGTCCTCAAAATAACACCTTGGATAAATCCATCAGCCCCCTAACCTGAATTTTAGAATCTTTCCAAGCCATTACTGTTGCCCTTTCCACAGCTTCCCTCAAAAGCCCAAGTACAAACTAATAAATCTCTGCTCCCCAAATCAGAAGACATGAGCACTCCAGTTCTTGCTGCTCAACTTAATAATGGACATAAAACCAGTTTTCCTGACTTCCCAGAGCATTTTCCAGTAGAAACAGTGTTATTAATGGTGGCTAAATTCCAGGATGCTAATAGTAAGTTACATAAGAAGAAAGATTACAAAGGTCTCTTCTGGGCTAGCAAAAGCAAACTAAACATCATTTATAAGATTATATACTTAAAAAAAAACAAAAAAAAAAAAACCCCAGGTTCCAAAGAACCTTCACCACAGTGGTATTTTCCCCCTTTTTCAAATGTTTATGCAATACCTTTCTGCTGAGTCTGCATTTCCTTCTGCCTGGAATTCAGTGCTCTTTGAAGTTTCCCTATCTCCTTTAATAATCAACCTAAAGGTTTCACTAAATACTTTCTTGATCACTATCATGCTTCTGCCAGACCCCAAATACACATCGAAACCCTTGCCGCTCCTTTATGCTCTTAAGGTCTACAATTATCTCTTCCCCTCACAACTGGGTTTTTTTCCTTCCCATTTTTTTTATTATGAAAAATGTCAAATATTCAGAAAAGTTGAAAGAACATTTCACAACCATGGATATACTCACTTCAATAACAGCCAATATTTTGCCAAATTGACTTTCTATTTATACACACACATACACATATATTTGCTGACCATCTCAAAGTTGTAGGCATCAACATTCATCATCTCAAGCATATCTCCAAAAAATAAGTACATCTTCCTACATAACCACAATATCATCACCACTAAGAAAATCAGTAAATAGTTCTATAACACTTGTCTGTATGCAGATACGGATGGGTGCTTTCGCAGAACAAGGACCTCATCTATATATTCCCAGGACTTAACTGGGTGTCCAATAAATGTTCTACCAATTGTTCAGTTTAATACCTCTACAACCACTTGGCAAGTATATGGATTTAAAACTTAAATAACAAGCTTTGATTTTATAACTCTGTACTGCAATAAGAATAGTATTTGGGGATCTTAACTACTTAATTGTGCATCACAATACTGAACCTCCATGAAGATAGAGATCGTTCACTTGTCAAAGTAGACACACGCACAAACACACAAAACTAAATGTATGAGTATTGTATCCACTGAATGTTAGGGAATAAATTGGAATCTTGGAAGAACTCGGCCAACAGAACACTAATTCTGTAGTGAAACAGATCGGATTCAAATGTTTACCTGCAGCCAAAGTTTGCTTGGGGGAGTTACCTGACCTCTCCAAGCCTCAATTCTCAATCTCTATAAAATGGAGATAATCTAACAGACCTCATGGCATTGTTAAGGAATGAATGAGAATGTGTGAAGCACTTGGCATGGCTCATTACCCGCAGCTACCTTCGTTATTTTATCTGTCTTAAACAAAAACTATAACGTTTCATTGAATTTCTAACAGCTCAACAAAACCCTGTCCAGTGTAGGGCTAGGATGCTTGCTTGCTAGGTGCTAAAGTCAGCCATGCTTCCTACTTCTTCAACTAAGCCTCTCCCGCACGCAATGGAAAAACAACTATTACCCACAGAACTCCAAGAGCAATAAACTCCAAGAGTTGTCCAGAGCCTCGTGTAAGAGATCCAAAGGTCATCATCCGGACGCCAGGAAAAACTCTCTCCCTTCCAATAGGTGCGGCAATGAACTGCAGTTTCCGACCGCACCATGCAAAGCTCCAACAACGCACAAGGCTTTTGTTCTTTGGGTGTGGAGGCGACGACCCGCCCGGGGCAAAGGCTAAAGAATGAAAATTAAAGTAGCCCCTCTACCGTTAGTAGTACCCAAACTCGATGCTGCCCACTTTCGTGGAGGGGGACACAGCTAGGAGTAGAAGCTCTGCAGCTACTTTGTGGCGGAACTGCAACGCCTGGCGTTTCAAAAGAAAAAAGGAAGCAATGGGGGAGGAGAAAGAGAAATCAAGCCCTGAAAGGACTCTCAAAGCTGTACTGTCACTACTCCGCGCCCAAGTTGTCACCGCTCCTGCACATGGACCTCGCAGGCACGTGCTCTGCGCATCTAAGGTCGGCAGCGCACAGCCGTAGACAAAGCCAAAGCCGAGCAGCCCTGGGGCGATCAGGTGCAGTGTCTCCATCGATCTAGGGGCCCTCACCTGGCAAGGCGGGGGTCTCCACTCGAGCTGTAGGAGAGGGCCAAGCCCATCCAGGTTTCGGTTTCTCCCCTCTAATTCTCGGGGCAGGAGTGAGGTGCTGGAAAAAAGACTTCAGTTGCAAGCGCAGACATGCCTCTTCTCCCTTCAGCAGCAGCTGGAGAGCCACAGCTAGGTACGGTACCTCAGACACTCGTACACCTCATGCGTCTCGGACACGCCTCTTCCCCGCCCGCGTTACGTGTTACTCTGAAACTTCACCGGGCGGAACAATTTCCGGTAAGAGCCCAAGGATCCGCCTCATCTTTTCTGATCAAAATTTTACGTGCACTCCCTGGGTTAAGGATCCGGGTAGTTCCGCTTCCGGCAGCACAATATAAATCGCGAGAAGAGACTTAAATCCTGGCGTTTGCATTTCGGACCACTTCGGTGAGTGGTCTTTCTGGTGTGCTTTGTCATACGAATTTTTTTTTTTTTTTTTTAAAGTGAGTTGTAACCTGACAGTGGTTTTAAAACCGTTCCCTTCGAAGGGCGTAGGAAGAGTTTGAGGCGTCGGAGAATGTGCCCCCTTGGGCTGGCCTTGGGCGTTGCGAGTTCCTTGGAGCTGGCGGGGAAGCGCTGGGGTTCGGGGAGGTGGCTTGGGGCTGACCAGTTTGACTCAATGGTCTTTTTTCACGAGGTACTAAGTTTAACTGGACCTTGCCTTTAGAATCAGTTAGCAGGCCGTCAAAATGCTTAAGAAATCCCTCAGCCCAGTCGAAGCAGCGTTTGAGACTCCAAGCATTTGAGTGAGTGTAAAAGTGCAGTTGGAGAATTCTCATCCTGACCTTAACGTAGTTGTCATTTTCGCTTAAAATTTTGCCCCAGATTAAAGTCACCTGTGTGACAGGGAGAGCCTTTTGAGTTCAGGAGAGAAGCTTGTCAGGAAGTTTTAAAGTAAAAGATGCACATTTTATCTCACTATGGATTTCCTCTAGGAAATCATGAGCATGTGTAAACCCTAAGAGAAATACTTTTCCAAAAGAAAATGACAATCGTCTTACGTGGTTTTTAAAAATGTTATTTGGCCTATTCGTCTGTTTTTCAATCTGTATACATGATAATTAACTTTATAAGGTCTTCTAAATAAATGAATTTGATGCTGGAAAAACAAGAGGGAGTGGAGGAAGGGGGAAAAAGAATTGAAATGTGCTATGTACATGTACCAGTTTCCTACATTGAATACAATCATGTTTTGCAAACGTGATAAAAGTAAAAAGAGACAGATAAACATAGTGAATTTATCCTATTTGGCTTCATGTATATGCACGTGGAGTTAAAGGCATTGCTTTTGTTGTTGAATTTGTACGGCAAAATGAAGCAAATTATAAAGAAACTACCTGGTGCATTGATTTCCTAGTCTTAGATGTTACAGAAAATGGTGCTGGTCCCTGTTTCACAGATTAAAATAGCATCATTCAAAAATCAGAATTTTAACCACAAATTGACGTGTTCTTTTTTTTTGAAACAGATTTTACATAGTTGGAATGTATACAGATTGTAATCTTTCAGAGACTTAAGTTGGTAGCTCGCTGGTTTTGTGCGTGTGTGTGTGTGTGTGTGTGTGAGTGAGAGAGAATTGGATGCCATCCTTTACTGTCCTCTCAGGAATTTCATACTCCCAGTTATGTAATTTTCTCTCCTCTGTCTACAGTGGCTGTTCCCTTAGAATTAAACTTTTTTGATTATTCACTTCTTGAAAGCAAATCAATCTTTTCATTTTTTTTAAATTGTAGTAAAATGCATGTAATGTGAAGTTTACTATCTTAATCAGGACCAAAATTCATGTTGTTCAAGAAAAACTAATGTACATTAATTTTATACAGAAGAATGTATGCCTTCTGGCTGCAGATATCATTTGAACATTTACAAAATATAACATGATTGGAATAGAGTTTTTTGCAATTTACAATGATCATGAATATATTTAGAAGTAATATAAAATTATATTTCCTTATAATCTGTTATTATTTAAGTATCATATAATAGGTCTAAACTATGTGACATTTCAGTTGAGGCCAGTGAGAGACTTTAATCAAACCTTTTAAGTGTATTCATTTCCTTTTCCTCCTAGTATGTAAAAAATTTTCAACGCTATAAATGAAAAGAGACAAGATATTTTGTCATGATGTATTTCAAAAATAGCATTTGAATATTTTAGTTCAAATACATCACTGTTTCATTCCTGTACCATAGTTATCTCCCTCACAGATAATATTCTGGGAATGCTCAATTCATACATAAGCAAAAATGTGACAGAAGCCTGAACTGAAATAGCAACTCATTTAGCTTATCATTTAAATAATATCTTTAAATATCTTTTGCCTAGGTTCACAATGGTCCGTAGTGGAAAAAATGGTGACCTTCATCTTAAACAGATTGCATATTATAAACGAACTGGTGAATATCATGCAACTACACTGCCAAGTGAGAGAAGTGGTATAAGAAGAGCAGCAAAAAAGTTTGTCTTCAAAGGTGAAATTAACATCAAAATCTTGAGTATAATCTATAGGTTTCTTATCTATCTATGTTCTTTGTAGAATCTTAAAAATTTTTGTAGTAACTCACACTAAATGATTATCAGTTAAATTGACAATGACACTCAAAAGCAAAATAGGAATCACTCTAAAGCTAACTAAAAGCTAGTAAGCCCCAAAAGGCCCTATTAAATTATAGAAGTACTATGAAAAACAGCAAGCACCCAAATTAACTTCTGCTTTTGCCTTCTGGTGGTTCCTACTCAGATGGAATACAGTACTTTCAAGGGCGATGCCACTGTCATTGAGAAACTTTTGATGCTTAATATGAAATTGTTGAGGAAGATAACTAGTGGAAAGAATGGAAAGAACTGACCATGTCTATTTCTGTGGCTCCTTAATCCTGAATCCCTTGAATAGATGAAATATTTGAAAGGCACAGCAGTGTTTATCTTGAAAGGTTATTGTAGTTTGTCTCCCTCCTTCAAAGGAGCAGAGAAGTTTGGGATAAAGTAAGCAACAAGGACAGTCACCAAATAACTGAGTGAATGTTACTGTCATTGATAGGATTTTTGCCCATAGGCACACATTGGCTTTTCCCTAAAGTAGGTCAAAAAAATTGTAACAAACAAATGCCTGTTCATGTCTCCCTTTGTACACCACTCCCAGTAACTCTTTGTGCTTAAGAACAGGTCAGCTCTTAACCTCTTAGACTCAAGTGAGGTTTCATTCATTCATTTATTTAGTCATTTATGTAAAAAAGTGTTTACTGAGATCCCTCTTATATGCCAATCACATTTTAGGCCCTGGAGAAATTTTGGTGGATAAAATAGGTTGGGTTCCTACCCTTGGGTTGCCTACTTTCTAATTTAAGTAAGGAATGTTTGATTCAGCACATGTTCTGCTATATTCCAAAGTTTGAATTGCTGCCCAATCCAAGCTAGAGAAGTGATTTTTATTTTAATCCTTTGGTTGCTTTCCAGCTCCAGATTCTTCCTAAATAAAATGAAATTTCTACCTGATATTGGTGGCTCATGCCAATAATCTCAGCACTTTGAGAGGCTGAGGCAGGAGGATCTTGGGCCAAGTCTTGCTCTGAGCAGCTTACTGACTTAATGAGACCCTGTCTCAAAATTTAAAAAAAGAAAGGCTGGAAATATAGCTCAGAGTGAAGGCCCTGCGTTCAGTCCCCAGTATTGCAAAAACAACAATAACAACAAAAACCCCAAAACAAAATAAAAACAAAAAAAACCTTGAGGATGCAGGTTCTCCCACTGTACCATCTCTGCCTTCTACTTAGATCTAGGAAAAGTTGAGAGAGGTGGTTGCCTCTAAAATTAGACTTAAGATGAAAGGTAAATACTCTCATAATTTCATTGTCCCATACTTACCACATACACTGGTGAACAAGCGAGCTCTGCTTGTATTGATAGCTCCAAAATTATAGCAGCCAGCATTCCTCCTAGATATCTAATAAGTGTGACAACTGAGAACCTTTCAGATCGTATGGTAGCATCATTACAAGTAACTATTTTGTTTCAAATGGAAAAAGACTTTGTAAAAAACAAAAAATTCTCTTAGTGTGAAGATAAAGCTATCATTATCTTAATACTATGTAGAGATCTCTAAAACTTACAGTTCTTTTTTGGTATGATTTCTTCCAGAAAAACAGCTATTCTACGTTGGAAAAGACAGAAAACAAAATCGTTTGGTAATTGTTTCAGAAGAGGAAAAAAATAAAGTCCTAAGAGAATGCCATGAAAATGATGCTGGAGCTCATCACGGCATATCCAGAACACTCACTCTAGTGGAATCTAATTACTATTGGACTTCTGTGACCAATGATGTCAAACAGTGGGTATGGCTTATGTATTTAGAATATTTTGACTATGTCTTTCTAGTAAATATACAAAATTCTATATTACTTCAGATTTACTCTGGATATCACCTCTTGTTAAGTACATTGTGGTTGGGTAGTTTTTGCACCAAAAAAAACCACCTAAAAGGAGTTTTATTTCATAATTCTTTAAAATCACTAAAGTGTAATTTGAACTAGAAATAAAGTAGTTTTAAACATTTGAAAATATATTTAGATAACAGATAATTTAGAACCAGATTTTCATTATTGAACTCCATTGTGTAGGCACAATTGGATAGGTGCTGAAATTCCTTTGACTAAATCATTACATCTTTAATGCCAGTCATAAGGTTTTCTGTGTGTAGGAGAACGTGTGTGTAATAAGTCAGGCTTGGTGTGTACTGTTAGCTTTTGCACCCATTCCAGCTTCAGGTAGAAACTGTCAGGGCCGGAGATTTAGCTCAGTGGTTTCGCCACCTGCTGCGCAAGCGCAAGGACCTGAGTTCAATCCCTGGTACCAAAAAAAAAAAAAAGAAACTGTCAAACATGGCAGAAATGCAAAATCAAATTATGGGCCTGTCATGCATTCCTTTACAGACATTTAGTAAAATCTTTGTCAAATCTCTTATCCTTGAGAATGGGTATAATTTTTTAAATAACCAGAGGCTATTTGTGATTAAATCTAGTAAGTTTAAGTTGGAAAATGAATATTTTGGTCGAAAGTTAACTAAGACAATACTATATTAATATGGTTTTTAAATTTTTCTTCAGAAGTTAGCTTGAAAGTAGTTTCTAATGTGAAATTTACAAAAACACATTGAGAAAATGAAAGCTGTGCTTTGTTTTTGTGCACCCCCCCTTTCTTTAAGGACCTAGAAAAATTCTGGCATCTATAAATATTGACTACTCTAAATTATATTTCAATAAACGTTGGTATAGATGAATGAATGAATGAATTTCTTTATAGTGATAACTTCAGAACAGTATCTTCTACATGTAGAAATCATCACATTTTAAGATTGTAGAGAATTAAGTGTCACAGGTCCACCATAAATGTGTACAATTTTTATTTGTCAATTAAAAAATAAAAATTCACCTGAACCATGAATTATGTTACATGTAAATAAGCTTCTAAAACCTGGTCCCGTATAGAAATAGCAACTAATATTCGCTTGCTGTTCTAAATAGAAGGTTTAATTCAGTGGTCTGTTGCAGTCCAGAAACTTCTCCTTCAAAACACAAGCTACCTAGTAATCATTTTAAAACTCTGATTTATGTTGAGTATATTAACTTTTATATATATATTTTCTTTATTGTGTGCCTCTTTGTAGGTATATGCTTGTCAGCATTGCCAAGTGGCAAAAAATACAGTTATTCTAGCACCTAAACAGCACCTTCTCAAGGTGGAAAATTCATGGAGTATAGTTACTGTGGATCCGATGGGACCTTTTCATGCAAGCAACAGAAGTCATGTGTATGCTATAATTTTGACAGATTTGTTCACAAAATGGGTTATGATTTTGCCTCTATGTGATGTTTCAGCGTCAGAAATTTCTAAAGCTATTACCAATGTATTTTTCTTATATGGACCTCCTCAGAAAATAATAATGGACCAAAGAGACGAATTCATTCAACAGGTAAGACAAACTGCTTATATCTGGGAGCATATCTTACTCTTTCTGTGTCCATTACACAGTGCTCTGTGCATTGTAGGGTACTTAATGTATTCACATAAATTGCTATAGACACAGAGGTATGTATATTATAGACTGCAAAAGTAATTAGCCTGGAAGTTAGGAGATTAGGCTTTTAGTATTTATTGTGCCACTAAAGTAAGTGTAAACCTGCATTTTGGTGTCCTCAAACTAAAATAAGAAAGCTGAACCACACAGTCTTTGCTTACTTCTAACTGAAAATTTTTATAATTGGCAGGTAAACAGTAGGTAAATGGTAAAAGGCAGCTAAATTTGACTAAACATAAAAATACATCATGTTCATGAATGAGAATAATGACTCAGCATTGACAGGTATTTTTTTTCCCTTTCCCTGGTATTTTTCCAGATTAATCTGAAGAATAAGCAGCCAAGAATATAATAAAAGTCTACAAAAGACATATAATACTATTAGACTTAAAGCCTTTTTTTAGACTTATGGTGGCATATGCGTGTAGTCCCATCTACCCAGGAGGCTGAGGTGGGAGGACAGTTGAGCCCATGAGTTCATGACTATCATAAAACTCATTTCAAAAAAACTTTGTAAAATGTTATAATTGATAGAGTACTGTATAATAATAATCATGGCTAGCCAAACTTTTTTGATCCACAGTACCTTTGGGTCTCAGTCAAGAAGAAATACCTAAAGTTATATTTATTAAGTACTTAGGACTTACATAAGGCATCCTTAAGACTGTCCTCGGATTCCGTGATTTACTAGGAATACCCAGCATATAGTCATACTCAGTGACTGAAATTTATTCAGTGAAAGAATCCAAACAAAAGCTGCAGCCTCAGCAACTTAGCGAAACCCAGTCTCAAAATAAAAAGGGCTGAGGATATATGTGAAGGCCCTATGTCCAATCCCCAGTACCACCCCCCCCAACACACAAATACTCTATAAAGAGAAAAAGTATATAGGATGAAGTCCAGGAGAAATCAGGCACAACCTTCACTCTACCAATGAACTATATTTGAAACCCTTTTGTAAAAAAATTTTTAACCTTGAGACAAAGACTCACCAAGTTGCCCAGGCTAGCTTTGAACTTGCAGTCCTCCTGCTTCAGCCTCCTAGAACACTGGGATTATAGGCATGCACCACCACACCCAGCCAGGATTTTACTGGGGCTTGTTCACATATGTATCCTCTATTCCAGACCCACAGAACAAAAATTATTTAGCATAAGCCACATTATCGTATAAACTTTTTAGGCCTAATGAGCTACCCTCATCATTTAGAAAATGATTGGAACTCTTTCAGTGGGGTCCAGAATCTAGGATGCTAGAAAACCTTGTAAGCAGATCTTTCAGAGGATGACAATCTCAGATCTGCTATGTTAACTATTTTCTGCACAAATCCTTCCAAACAACTTAATGAGCATTTATATTCTAGCCAAGTTAGTAGCCATTTAAAAGTCTGATTCTTGGGGTTGAGGGAGTGTAGCTCTGGGTTCAATCTTCAGCAACCCCCCATCCCAAATTATTTGTGAGTTTAAAGAAAATTATTTTTATTTTATTCTTAAATAACTAATTTTTTGCTAATAGGTTGTGTGTCCTTGTTGACTACTTCTCAAACCTTGGGATCCTATTGGAAACTACCAACTACCCTTACTTTCTGTTTCAGTGATTTTTTTTTTACATAGTAATTGTTTTTTATTATTACAGCATTTGCTGGAAAAAAAAAAAGTTCCGTAAAGATATAGCATCATCAAACTTGATCTATTAAAACCATGAACTACATCAAGCTAGTAGTTTGCATGGTGTACAACTGGTGTTAACTGGGAATATTAACAACTGGTGGCATCACCAGTGAGTGGAGGAGGGAAGGGTTATGTAATAGATTAACAAGGAACAATTTTGTAATTATTTCTGCAATATGGTTTTAGAAATATATATATATATCAAAACTATTTTCTGGTAGATTAAAGAATTTGTATGTCTTTAGTTGAAATAAAAAATATGTAGGAGTAATTCAGTTTTTATTTTTATTTCTAGAAGTAGAGAACACAGTCCAAGTTTAGGAACAGTAGTATACATTTCAATGGAAAAACATCAATTAGCTGCATAAAAATTAGGAAGTTACATCTGGTGAAATAACCAAAATTAAAGGATAAGAAAAATAAAGTGAACCTACATGGGAAAGGGCTGATGTCTTTATTATTAAAAATTAAAAGAAATTAATAAATTTAATCAAAAGCAAAACCAGATAATTTTCAAAAGGAAGAAAAATTCTAAACATAGATAAAATATTCAAACTTAATAGTAACAAAATATAAGTTAACATTAGCTTTTGCTTCTATAATAAAAAATGGTAAGAATATCAACTGCAAATAGGATGTTGTAGCCTTACAATTCTTGTAGCAGTACAGCTTGAAACTTACCCTTTTGTAAAGTAATTCACAAAAGATCCATTAAGAGCTATAAATATATGCCTTTGTAAGCAATCCTATTTTAAGAAACGTATTCTAATTAAATTGCTCAACTATAGGAACAGATGTTTTATGATAATATTTACCACAGTGCTAATTATGTTAGTGAGAGATGGAAACAACCTAAATATCCAGAAAACGTGTTTCAGAAAAATTTCTAGCCACATGATGAAATATTTTAATGTCGCCATTAAAGTGATGCTTAAAAGAAGCAATAAATTTTATGTACTTTTTAATGTAACTATTAAAATATTAACAAAGGGAAATAAAGTGTTTATAATGTTAAAAGTCTAGATAAAAAATTTGTGACATATATGTACATGTATTTAGACAGATGACTATAAAAATACAGTAGATATAAAACTATAAGGAGGCTTTTTAAAGAGTAATCAGATTATAGGTTTTTAAAATCATAATTCTTCTGTTAAAATTTCTGATAATTAGCATGTATGTATAACCTATTGCATTTGTGAACTGATAGGAAACACTCCTATGTAGCAATAACTAGTTCTTCTCTCCTCAACATGGAAAGCTGTCCTTTTAGGCTGTTGCAGGTAGGCAAGCCCACATAACTGGTCTGGCCAAAGAAATCGAATAGATGGAGGTGTGTTATTAGCCCGAGGCAATAAAAATCTCTTTGTCAATCCCTCAATCTCCCAATCTTACCTTTGTCTGGAGAACTGACTGAATGTTCCATATGTTACACTATAAAACAATGAAATTTGCCTTGAAGAGGCAACCAGATCTATAGCCAACCTTATACAAGTCATAGGTAAAACTTTGTTGCATTAAGTCACCCAGAAAGATAGAAAAGTGTGTGGTAAATGTGTAAAAGTTTGCCATGGTCTGTGCAATGGGGTGTGTAAGACAGTCTAGTTTGAGAGATACTGTTAGAACTTCTGTTTTTATTTCTTTTTTTAATCTAGAAAATAAAGACATGAAGCATTGCTGCTAATGGCTGCAGATTGAGAATAGCTTCTTAGCTTAGTCATTAATCCACATAATATGTGAATGTACCCTGACAGAAAAATGAGAATCCACAATACGTAGAGGTCTACAGTCATTCCCCTATTCATTCTCTTGCTTTCAGCAGTTAATTGAATTTATGAATATAATCTAGATTTCACCGTAGGATAACCAGGTGGCTGAACTCTCTTGCAGTGAAACAGTATAATACTAAAATGCAAACATTTATCAGCCACATGAAAATGATAGAGCTGACACTTCTACTTAACTTCTGGTGTGGCTCTTTTGTTAGTCACATTAATGAAATAAAAAACCATCAGTTGGATCTGGTGAGAAATGGCCATCAGAATTATTAGGAAGACTCTGAAATACTAATTCACATCCACCTTTATGAAGAGCTTTTCCACTAAGTGCATATTGTGCCTCAAGAAATTAGCTAGGGCCAGGGATTTAGCTCAGTGGTTTCGCCGCCTGCTGCGCAAGTGCAAGGACCCGAGTTCGATCCCTGGTATCAAAAAAAAAAAAAGAAATTAGCTAATAATAGTACAGACACCTTTGTGATTAGCCAACAGTTTTCCAGTCATATTTCAATTCATAGGATAATCAGCCCAGACTTTGAAAATTTACTAATGTAATATAATTGTAAATAATAAATGTTTACAATTCTCTTTTGTGAGGTTTCTTAGTAACAAAATACAAAATGTCATATATGATTGGGAAAATTTATACTTTTTGCTTGATTAAAATGACATAAATATCACATAGAAAACATAATGGTGACAAAATAAACTACATTCTTTTATCAGAAAATACTAACAGAAAGCATTCCTAGAGTGTTGAAATAAGATTAGAACACTTTATGGTGTTAGAGATTTATTATACAGTTGGATAAAAATACTGATGTTTCCAACATATCTCATCTTAGAATAATTGTTTTAGTGAAAGGCACAAAAGGTTTTTGTAAACCTGTGAAGAGAATAAACATTTTTATTGTGAAATTTCTTGATGCTAAAGAAAAATCTCATATGTAAAGATAAAATTGGAATATCTGCTTTGATGGGCAGGGATCAAAAGCTGCTTGGGATAAGATGTGAAGATGGACAAGGATGTCTAGACTGATCTATGAATGGATCCACTAGATTAATGATGGTGAACCTTTTAGAGACTGAGTGCCCAAACTGCAACCTAAAACCCAATTGTTTATCACAGAATGCCAATGCTGCAAATAACCCTGAATACTGAGATTTTAGTTTAGAAAAAAACAACTGTTAACCAGTGTTTGGTTGCTGGGACAGCTTGTCTCATGTGCTGACAGACGGGGCTCTTTGCTCACCACCACTGCACTAGATCATTTCTTGCCAACCTCTAGAAGCAAAAAAGTTGAAGCCTTTTCTGTGAGTCATTTAAAACCATTGATTGAGGCCTCACATTGACACCAATGACAACTGTTCACTGGGCTTTCATTCTAATTACTTTTTAATATGAAAGAAGCCACCTAAACATATATATATGAGGCAGCACAAAGAATTATGTTCAGGTGCAAATAACAGAGAACTCATCTCCCTTCCCCAATATGTAAACTGCAATAGGAGTTTATTTTGTACTCAGGAAAAAGAAGTCTAGGCTACCCATGGCTAGTATGGTAGCAACAAATGTCATTGGGCATCCATGCTTTCAACTTTCTTTTCCACCATCTCTGGGATGTGACTCTCAATTTTGTACTTACAGCATCCATAGTTTATCCAGAAAGAAGGGGAAAACAATGGGCAAAAACCAGCAAAGCAAGTACTAGCAACAGCTTTCATTTGCATCTTGTTCCACCAGCACTGTTGCGTGACCAGGCCTGTCTTCTAGGCAGCTTGAGAAATATAGTTTTATTATGTTAGCTTTTCTTTTATTAACTTTATCTTTTTAATTATTCTGTCTGAAATTTTCTCCTTTTAAAAGATAAATTTATCAAAGCTTAATTAAAAGTAATAAAGATAAAACATATAAGAGTTGCTGCTTACTGTTAAGTTTTCTAAACTCATTTTAACTTTTTTTAGACCCTACACATACTAACTATAACAAAGGTAGTAGCAGTTAAAAGTTAGAAAATACTACATGCCAAGAACTGTTTTAAATGCTTTAGAAACATTCATTTAATCCTCAGGAGAGTTAAGGGTAAGATTTTTCCTCATTTTATAAATGAGGAAACTGAGTACAGAGGTTCAGTGAGTGGGCCAGGGTTACACACCTGGTAACTGGTGTGACCTAGCATTTACTGGAGACAATGTCTACTGAATTAGAAAGTTAACACATGGTATTAAGTTCTAGCCTATTGCATCCTTGTTATATTTGTAAACTTGGTAAGGAATTCAACCTCCCAAAGCTTCAGATTCTTGACTTTAAGATAGGGTGAATAAAATAAAGTAATTTTAAAGTTTAACAAAAATAATATGAACTATGTTGACCAGCACACAGTGAGAACTTCCAATTGTAACTCCTATTTTAAACTAAATATGTATATCTTTATTTAGAATGGGTATGAACAGTGAAAAGGGAAAGGTTCAAATTCTTCTGAAGCCATTTTTTGAATCAGTGGAAAAATACAAACTTTAAAAAGTCACTTTTGGACCCAAACAAGTTGGCATATACCTGTTATCTCAGGGCTTAGGTGGCTGAGACAAAGAAGATTTTGAAATTGAGGCCAGCCTGTGCTACATAATAAGAGTCTGTCTCAAAACAAAACAAAAAAAGTCAACTTTATTTTGTCTGTTTTTCAGATCAATGTAGAACTGTATGGATTGTTTGGTACAAAAGAGATTGTAATTTCTCATGCTGCTGGAACTGTTAATCCAACTGAAAGTACACCTAGAACAATCAAAGCATTTCTCTCCAAACACTGTGCCGACCACCCAGAGAACTGGGATGAACACTTATCAGCTGTTTCCTTTGCCTTCAATGCAACTCACTTGGTATGTGCCTTTTTACTAATTCTATATTTCTTGGTTATGAATATTTCTTCGCTAAACATTTTCGTTACAAGTTTGCTGTTTATTTTTCTTAAAATAGGAGCCTGCTAAAAATACACCATATTTTCAAATGTTTAATCGAAATCCTTATATTCCAAAGACTTCAGATACTCTTCATGAAATGGATGCTGATAATACAAGTATGTTTGCCAGAATTCTAGATGCATTTAAAGAAGCTGAAAAAATAATGGAGGCAAAGACAACTTCAATGGGCCAGGTGATACTATTTAATAGAAAAACTGTAAAATTCTAAGAAGTAATATTTATTTTGCTATACCCTTAAACCAAAATGTTTTACCTAGCACATTCTGCTTGTCCTGGCTAAACAGTAAGTGCTCATTAGCTGTGGAATTCTGAGAGACAGTAATGAAAAAACATGAATTTTAGAAGCAATAAAGCTGGATTCAAATCTAGTTTTGCCATTTCCAGGAGTTTGACTTTGGAAAATTATTGTTAGTTTACCTTCTTTGTAAAGTAGGGATAGTAATACTGACTTTGAATTGTTGCTTTAAGTGTTAAGTAGGAGTCATGGCTACCTTTTTATAGCATCTCAGGAAATAACCATTTTGTCTCTTATTATCTGCATTTACTTCCAGAAATAAATCTTTTATCTTTTTTATTTTTTTTTACACTTGTAGGTGGAGAACCATTTGAATGGACTACATAAAAACAAGATCATTGTTAAAAAGAAACCAAAGCAGTTAAATCCATTTCATTTAAAAGTGGGTCATGAGGTTTTAAGACAAAGGAAAAATCGGTGGAAAGATGGTCGTTTCCAGTCCGAATGGATTGGTCCTTGTGTCATAGACTATATTACAGAAAGTGGCTGTGCTGTCCTGAGAGACAATACGGGGACTAGGCTTAAACGACCTATCAAAATGTCCCACCTTAAGCCTTATGTAAGAGAATCCAGTGAACAAGGTAAGTGTCTGCTGCTTCTCTACATTGTTAACTTTCTTTGAGAGAAATTATAGTCTTTCTTCCTGCTTTTGCTTAGGTTTTCTTTTCCCTTGTCATTTTTATAAAATGTGATAGTTTTCGATACACCATGTTGTATTAGAATATGTCTTCTGGAATGGAGAGATTTTATTTTGATTTCTAGTGTGCTTTTCATAGTTGACAGAGAATATACTGAACCTGTATCACAGGATTACATCATTTCTATTATTGCTTTTACAGCATTCCATTAGTCACTTTGTACCCCATTTTAGGTGGAAAACAGCAACTAAGAACATTAATGTCAAAAACATATTGTCTGGAATCTATTTGTGAAATAAATACATAAGGGAATTCAAAAATGTCATTAATGTTTAATGCTGTTTCATAGTTAGATCATAGGTGGGGGTAGGTGAGCGTGCAAAGTGTGGTGTCTCCAGAATACTATAAGGGGTTGTGAGAAGGGATAGCACTCTCAACAAGGTTATTCTTGCCCCAAAATATTACTAGTTCTTAACGGTCATGATATCCTGATCTTTCTAATCTTTTCTTTCATAGTCTAATTAAATGTCATTTGTGCCATGACTTTCAGATTAAGTCCCTTTAGCAAAATTGTTTTATTTTGTCCTAATATGTCTGCCCCCTAGACCTTCTCTGAGGTAGATAAACTAAGAGACAGTTAATTGGTACTGTACCTTAGCTAGTAATTATGCTTTTTCTATAAAGAAAGATAAAGTATTAATATTTTTTTACTATAAGTAACATCTGATATATGACAGAATAATATTTTAAATAACAAGTTATTTAACATGCTTAAGTAAATAACAAGGACAGCAACAACAAATACTGCTTTTAGATATGAAGACCTTACGGTTGCCCAGTAAGAACTCAACTCTGTTTTTGATCTGAGCCACAACTGTAGTGTTAAAAGCTCTTCATGCCTTTCTTTCTTGTGACAGACCCAGCTACTCCAGTCAGTAAACATATCTTTGACTGTGTTCTAAATCTGAAACTCATAAGCACCTTCATTCTTTTTTTAGAAGATAAGTTCTTTCACTCCTTGTGCCTTTTCTAAGTTCTGAGATACCTTGATAATCTCTCCCCTCTGCCAGCTAAGTAGAAAAAAAAATTATATAGGTACACATTGTTCTTTCTTCTTTTGGGAGATTTTCTCCTTAATCTTAGTCATTCAGGGCTTGCTTTCTTTTAATATTTCAACATCACTTCCTTAATACAGAATTTACATTTAAAATATTGTATCAGGATCTGTTTCAATATTTTGTAGTTTACTTTTCTCAAAGACTTTCTTGAGGGCCGGGGATTTAGCTCAGTGGTTCCGGCGCCTGCCTCAAAGACTTTCTTGAAAAGAGATTAAATATTTTGCTGTTTCTGAACATTTCAGAACCAGATTGAGAACAAAAGTTTCTAAATAGACACAGTATAATTTTTGCCACATGCTTGATTCTCTGCAGATGTTTCCTCCAAAAATATAAGAAAATTGCAATATTATTACTGGTGTACATGTAAGGAATCTGAAATTGATGGATGAATTTGTTTCAGTTTTTCTTGTTAACTAAAGGAAGTGATGATCTGGCCGTCCTAGAAAGTGATTCTTGATTACTATCTGGGGTGTGTGTGTGTGTGTGTGTGTGTGTGTGTGTGTATGTATATTTCTCTAATTTGCAGAAATTCAAAGTAAAGGTGATTTCCGCCATCGTTTTCCTGAGTATCATGTATTTTCCTGAAAATATTAACCTGACAAACTGATTTCAAAGAGTCTTTGAGCTGAATTTAGTGCAAACAGTATCTTTGAATAATTATACAACTTAATTGACATAAATTTGGGCAACTTATATCCAAAAGAATTATAAATCTGTCTATATTTGTCATTGCTGCTCTTTACCAGGCTTGAGATTCTGTAGCTGAAGTCTCATTATCTAAAGCAAATATAATGCCTCTTTCTTATCCATTCTTATCTAAAATATAATGCAACAAGAACACATTCAGTAGTCAGCCTACAATATTTGTCATTGCTATTTTAAGCAGGCCTATTTATTATCTTCTCTAATTCAATGCCAAATACTCTCTCAGGCTAATTATTTTAACAAGAGAATCTAAACATGCCATAGTATCTCTGTGTAGTCATAATGTTCTCTTTCAAATGAAAAATTATGCTATTAACCCATTATTCCATACAACATAGATTTTTAAGTAGTTTTAATATGCTGAGTTTGTTATGGATTTGGATCTGCCTCACAAAAAAAAACTTAGTCTCTTTTTTCCTCGTTGAAAGCCCTCATTTATGAAATGATTTTCATTATTGTAGAAGTTTATTATTGCTCCCATAACAAATTTAGTAGCTTGAAACACAGAGATTTATTATCTTAAGGTTCTATAAGTTAGAATTTTAACATAGGTGTCACTGGGCTATAACTGAGGGATTGATAGATTTATGTTCCTTTCCCTAGGCTCTAGGAGAGAATCCATTTCCTTAATTTTTCTGGCTTCTGGAGGCTACCTTCATTCCATGGTTTGTGGTCCTTTTCCTCCATCTTCAAAGTGAACAAAAGCTCTACCTTTTCCTCTTCTTCCTTCTACATTTGAGGACTCTTGTGCTTGGACCTGCCCAGATACTCCAGGAAAATCCCTGTTTTAAGATCAGCTTACTGTCAGCCTTAATTCCATCATTAATTTTATTCTTTTGTTGTATAAGGCTATAAACAGTTTCCAGAGAATCATATGTGGACATACTTGGAAGCCTGTTATGCAACTACATTTATGATCTGCATTCATGAAACAAAGCCTAGCTTAGTCTCATGCATTAAGCCTATGATCTCCACATTATCATTATTATCTATTATATACATTATTATATAGTTGATGCAGAGAAAGGTGTCCTTTGGCCTTTTAGTAATATAATCTCTAACAGTCAGTCAAGTTCTCTCTTGGAAGCATTACTGATTATAATGACAATGAAATTATAGTTATTTTATCATAAGGGCTTTACTCTAATGACAGCATACTCAAAAATGTGAAGATTATCACACCATATATAGAGTTAGTTTAGTCACTTCAGGATAAGAAAATTAAATAGCGTTAAACCTTGTATCTTTCTATTTGAAGAGATAAATGATTCAGATTTTTGTGAGACTTTGCTTTTAATTTATTTCTCTGTGTAGAGAAATTTAAAAGTCTATTTTTGTCTCTTAATTCCTTAAAACTACATGAGAAAAAAATCTGTCAAAACTGCTGGTAACATCTTTCTGAAACAACTTGAAAATGCCTCAAAAACAGTGAAGATTTAATTATTCAGTCTGTTCAAAACTGACATACTTTCATTAGACAGATATCATAATCATAGCTGAATTAAATGAGAAAAGAAAAATACTTAGTAAGGTCTATTGTATAATGTAGGAGAAAAGTTTTCCGATATGGTTATATTTATCTCTTTGTTTGGGGGTTAAAACCTTCATGTTCTTTTCTATATAGTTAACTAAGAATTGTTCTCCATTAGTGTTGTCCAATAGATACATAATGCAAAAACTATGTACCATGTCATTTTAGATTTTCTAGCACATTTAAAAAATACAAAGAATTGGGTAAAAATAATTTTCACATTATATTTAATATACCTCAGTGTGTCCAAAATATTATTAGATCATCATAGATTCCTTGGCCCCAGTAGTTTCCTTTTTGATAATTATTGAAATCAAGAGCATTTGTGTTGACTCCGGTGGATTTAGACCACAGTAGGAGTTGAACCATATTTGACCTTTCTGAATGAATGAGAATACTTTTTCCTCTATAAACAGGCCTTTGACTTCTTCAGAGTAGTTTTCCATACTGTATAAATTGATTTGTGTAGAATTTGCTGAGGATAACCTTTGTTTTCTACAGTTTTATTATAATAAGTACCTTAAATGTTATCACTTAAAAAGAAAAAAATACGTGTAACACTTAAATTGTGTATGTGTAGAAACTTTCCTCTTACTATAGGTGATGTTGGTAAACTGTAGTTTTTTTCTGAATCAAGTATAAGAAGTACTTAAGCTCAAGGTCTCTGAATGAATTTCTAAGAAATCAAAGTAGTAACTCCTAAGAGTTTAACATCTAAACAAATGTTTTCTGCACTGATATACTTAACATCTAGACAAATGTTTTCTGCACTGATATATATTTAGTAGACGTATTTTTCTAAAAGAAACCAACCTGTTTATCTTCATAGAAAAATTTGGGAAGCAGAAAACCTCCTTCATCAGAGATTTCTGAAAGTATTTTTGGTAATTTCTTAAATCAGTATGATGTCTTCCATACTGGTAACTTTGTACCAATGTACAGGCTTTGAACCTGTGAAATTCCCCATGGCTATTAGAAAAATTCATCAGTAGCATTTTTACCATACATAGCTTTTTAAAGTTTTCTCACCTGGTTCTCTCCCATATTAATAGTAAGCAAAACCAGACTTTGATGTTGAACCTCTAGTAACACACACTAAGTGTTTTGATTTCATTGATCTTCTTCTTCCTTTTTCCTGCTGTGGATCATAATACTTCTTGTGGGTTGCATGATTTATATTTTATCTGTAAGATTTCTCTTGTCCAGCATTTCATCCCATTGAGGCATTCAGAAATCATTTTTTTACCACATTCAATTATCTGTACTTTATTCCACTTTGCCTTTTTGTTTTTATATCTTAGTTCTGTTATAAACAATGTATCTTCTTGTCATTTTCAATCTAATCCCTGCTTTTACATTGATAAGAATTGAAGAGGTTAAATATAGAAAACCTTTTAAAACTAAAATATGGACCACATTTTGCCCAATGGAGAACTAAATGGACAAACTAAATGACCATATAAGCTCAAGCCCACTAATGACATCTGTTAATAGAGAACATGGACTTTTATGATATATTGAAGTTTGTAAATTGAAAGTTCTTAAATTCATGAACTTATGGGGATGGATGGGTAGAGATCACTTGAGTGGGATCATGTCCCTGGATATACTAGCAAATTTATCTGCTCTAAGAAACTTTCATTGGTCCCTAATCTAAATGGCCAATTCATCTTCTGTTTGTTCTTTCTTGAACTTGAAAGTTTGAGGACTCTAAAAGCTATTAAAATCTTTAACAGTATCTATTAATGTTTTAGGAGAAAGTCTGGAAAGAAAAGGCAATGGTCAGGAAGTTAATAAACTGGTAGAAGAGTTCTTTTCGGTAATGAATTAAATCATCATATAGAGGAGAATCCTTTTCTGTATATTATTCTTTATATTCAAAGATGCTGCCACTTTTACTATCTATTTAACATTCATTTTGAAACACTTTTTCCCCTGAGGGTAATTACTTTGCTAAAAGGAAGACAAGGAAGATTCCCAGTCAGTGTTTTAGTGTGAATCAGGTAGGCCTTAAAAGTTCCTAAGAATTTTGGTATCAAATTAGACTTAGATACACTTTTAAGCTACTTCATTGAAGCCTGCCTCCTTATATGTTCCTATCACATAAACCTGATCCTAGAAACTCTCTTCACCTAGTTCATATTGTAACAATTTCATATTATCTTCCTAATATGGAGTCTATAAAGATTGGGGAAGTATTTAAAGTTGTGATATAAGAAGGTAACAGTTCTATTTGTTAAAATACCTTTACTTAATTTGTTAATTCACCAAGAAATGTTTTACAGAGCATATTAAGGATATATCATTATCAAAAATATAATTTCATAGGGTTCTTTTTAATCTATACCAGTGGTGGCACCCTTATGGCACATGTTATTGTGTTTTTCTTTTAAGACAAAAGATGTTAATGTATGAGTTGTTTTTTTCTAAACTAAAATCTCAGTATTCAGGTTTAATTGCAGTGTTGGAACTGTACAACAAATAAGTGGGTTTTGGGTTGCAGTTTGGCACTCAGTTTCTAAAAGATTCATCATCACTGATTACTGATCCATACCATTCCTATTACCTATCTCACACACAAATATCTACCAAAAAGATCCAGGAAATACAAAAATTTGAATGTTTTAATATCCTTCATCTTCCTGCATTCTTTATGTGTGAACTGTCAAATATACACATATATCATTTTGTTCATTCTTTGACATATATTTAATCTTGACAGTTGCTTTTTATTACTTTGGATTTTTCTCCTCATTTAACATTGTTCAATTTTAAAATGATGTTTATAATTCTGAAAAACAAATTTATCATGTTTCTTCTTTCAGATAGTCTTTATCTCTTGCAAGGTTCTATAGTGGCAGATCATGACTACATTGGATTGCCTGAAATTCCAGTTGGAACACACCAAGCAAATATCCTGGTAGAAGATGCAACTGTTGGCGTAGTTGATAATGAGTTACTGACATCAAGCAAGGAGCATGAACTGTTAGAGTATAGAAATCCCAAAACCTCTTCATTGATAGAAGATCATGGTACTCTTGAAAAGCAGACTTTCAGTCTGTTGGACTCTTCAAACCAAGTCCTTGAATACTTAAGTTAGTAAATACCAAAATTGATTTAAAGTACTTGTTTAGAATGTTGATAATTGTATCCATTAAAATAGGTTGTATAGAACAAGTGTCTTGAAATAGTCCTAATGACTAAACCCTGAATTTTTATAATTGTTTACCTAAAGTTATATCACATTTGAATATCAGTATTGATATGTAGAGCAAAAAACGCATATACATTATATGCTTATTATATGCATATTATATCATATACTTGTATTAGTGTGTATATATGTCTGTATATATGAAAAGAAGCATATAATGTGTAGAATTCAGTTCTTTTAAATAGAGAACAGGCAAAGCACTTTTGCTTCTGAGGTAATAGATTCCAGCTCAAAACTCTTAAGCCTTTGTCTAATTTGTTTTATTTTGAGGCATGGTCCCACTAAGTTGTTCAGGCTGGGCTTGCACTTGCAGTCCTCCTGCCTCAGCCTCCCAGCCTCTGTCTGATACTGGTACTGCATTTTCAGTATTTATTTTTCTAGAATATTTCCCCCTTAAAAAAAAAATCTATTAAATGACCCAGAAGGGACTAATAAATACTGAATGAATTATAAAATGAATGAAATGAAACTTCTTTCAGTGTCATTAGAACTTCTAAGTACAATATTGTAAGAAAAATCTTAGGGTGGTCTAGTAGATTTTTATAAAATATTGATAATTTCAAATTACCTAATTTGTTATGTAGGTTCAAGATTAGGGTCTGAAAGTGCATGTTGTTTTGAAATATTTTTTACATTTCTGTGTAATTTATTAAAGCCCAAAGCATTCATTAACATGATTTTTTTCTGCAGTCTTAAAAGAGTAAATGATAAAATAATGAGTATCAAGGATTTTAAACATAATTTCTATGATTTTACAACTTTGTTCAACAGATATACAGAAGTGTGAAAATAACTGTGAGAATATTAAAAGATAGATGTATAGCTCATCCTCATTAGGATCTTACCACTTGGTAAGGAATATAGACTGTGTAAGCCAGGAACAATGCAAATTACAGATTAGGACATGCGAAATCCCAGGAGACCAATACAGCTAAAGTACTTAGGGAGGCAAAAAAGAGATGTTTCTGTATAGGAAACTTAGATTTATCCTGATGGCAGAAAGATCATTTGAACTTCAGCTTGAAAAATATATGGGATTTGCTGAGTGAATACAAAAGATACAAGGAATACCCATAGACCACAAAATACTATTATGATTCACCGAAGGGCAGGGCTTTTCTTGTCTCTCCTGCCTTGAGTATAAACTAGTGGGGAGAGAAAGCTGAAAAGGTAAGTACAAAACTTTGTGAGAACCTTGAATACTGTAAAAAGGTTATAATGTTTCCTACCCAAAATTCATATGTTGAAGTCCTTAACTCCCATAACCTCAGAATGTGGCCATATTTGGAAATAGGGTTGTTTCAGATATAATGAGTTAAGATGAAGTCTATGGGAATAGGATGGGCTCTAATCCAGTATGACTGGTGTCCTTATAGAAAGGGGGAGTTTGGACACAGACTCAGGGAGAATTTCATATGAAGATGAACGTGATCCTTCTACAAGCCACGAAATAACAAAGATTGCCAGCAAACTGCCAGGTGCTGGGGTAGAGGAGCAGAGCAGATTCTCCCACAGAGCTGTCAGAAGGATCAACACTTCATCTCAGACTTCTGCCTTCAGAACTGTGAGGTAGTATAATTCTTTTGTGTAAGTGACACAGTTTGCAGTACTGTTTAGTAATACCTTTAGTAAACCAATACAAATGACTACCTAAAGTATTTTCTGAGAGCAAAATCTACTAAAGGTTTTTATATAAAAATGTAGCACGATCAGTCAGAACTGTTCTATGATATTTAGTCTGGAAGCTTGCAAAGAATTGATTAGATGAGAGAAAAAAGGCTTGGGGATTATTTGATAGGATTTTGCTGTGAAGATGAGTAATGAAAACTTAAACTAGGCTTGTAGCATTGATAATGAATGGAGTCTATCTTAAATTCATAACAGAATATCTCACATATTTTAACCATACTGAATAGTGATACTGGAAATGGAGACCTGAAGGATTATGATTACTAAAAAGAATGATTAAATTATGTTTCATATAGGGTAAAGGATAAATGACTGGAGGAAAATAAATCAATGTAGGATTCATCTCACTACCACAGACCAAATAAATTCAAGGTAGAATTCCAGGAAGAAACCTTAAAAAAGCATAGTTGCAGCAGTAATGTCTGTCCTGTTCCTATAGCAGAACAAAGTTTGTGATGGGATTATGTTAGCTCTTCTCCTTAGTTAATATAAATGTTTGTGCCTTTTCAAAGCTTGAATAAAGTGACTTCCCTTTAATGATTAACTAACTCAAAATCAGCCATCAGCCTTTTTTTCCCCCAGTATTGGGAATTGAATCCACAAACTCATGTGTGTTAGGCAAGCACCTTACCAATGAACTATATCAACAGCAATGCTCCCCAATTTTTTTTCATTTGAAAAGACCAAATATTATTCAGAGTCATATTAGGACTATAAATTCTAAACAGTTAAAGTTTGCTTCCCCTAAATAATTTCTTGGTTTGTGCAGGGCTTGATTCCATTTTCATCCTCACTCCAATGTAGTATGGTGGTGACCACTGCTTCAATGGCACCATTTACCATGTATTATGGTTTAGATATAAAATGTCCCTCAAATTTCTCATGTGCGGGGAAGGTTGTTAGATCATAGGGCACTATATTCATTAATGGATTTATCCACTGGTGAGTTTAGTAGTTCGTGTGCTGTTAGGGAGGGCCAGGTAGAGGAGAAGGTCACTGGAGGCATGAGCTGGAAGAGTGTATTCTTGTCCCTGGCTCTGCACTTTCTCTTGTTCTCTGCTTCTTGGTTGCCAATGGCTGAGCACCTTTCCTCTACCATGTCCTTTCATGATATTTCTCCCATGGAGCCAGCCTCCCAGGGATTGAACCTACAGGAACCATGAGCCAAATAAACCACTCTTACTTTAAGTCAGAGGTGAGGAGTGTTTTGTCTCAATGACAGGAAAGTGACTAATATACCACGACAAGAGGTTAACATGGTTAACTGAGCACTAGTACTATGATGTTACATACATCCTTCCTGCTCATCTTACAATGATCAAACTTTGTCACATATTGCTAATGGGTCAAAAAAAATTTTTGTGGTAACCACAGTGTTCCAAAATTAGTGGTGATGGTTTTATTACTGTGTAAGTATACTAAAATCCATTTAATTGTACAGTCTACTAGAGTGCTCTGGACTGGTACCTGGAACCAGGCCCGTGTGAACCTAGATACCAGCTCAGCCATTTGAGGAGCCCACCACATGCCTCATCTAGAACCTGTGGATGGTCAAATTACTGAAAGGCTTACCCTGCCTAAATAGCCTATAAAGACTGGAGGAGGTACTTATTTCTTCAGATGTGCAGAAACCAACACAAGGCTGCAAGGATCATGGATAATCAGGTTAACATGATACCAACAAAGAAACAAAAGAAATTGTCAGTAACTGACCCTAAAGAAATGGATACATACAAAACTTCCAACACAGTTTAAAGTGATTGTCTAAAAGAAGCTCTCAATGATAACAAAGCAAAAGAATACATTAAACAAAATGAGTAGTTTAACAAGAAACCATCCCCCAAAAAACCATTCTGAAGCTGAAAAACAACTACATTGAAAAAATTCAACAGAGAACTTCAACAATGAATGAATGAAGAAAGAATTGGTGAGCTTAAATACAAGGCATCTAAAATTACGCAGAGGAACAAAGGGGGGAAAAAAACCAGTGAAGAACATCTATAGCACTTAGGCATCACCATCAAGTGAACCATAATATGCATATAAGAATCATAGAGGAAACAGAAAAAGGGAAAGGAGAAAGCTTTCTATGTCTAGAAAGGGAAATGAATGTCAATATCCGTGAATCCCAAAGAACCCTAAATATATTGAATATAAAGATATCTTTACCGTGACACAGTCAAATTTTCAAATATCAAGCAATTTTGAAAGCAAGAGAAAAGCAGCTGTCAAATATAATACAAAGCTATGATAATCCTACATCATGGCACTAGCATAAAAATAGGCACATAGACCAATGGAACAGAATACAGAGCTCAGAAATATATTGTGATGGTTGATTGATTATGTCAATCAACTTGTAAATAATGCCCAACTAAATTGGCTCATCATAATTCTGGGTGTGGAAGACCCACCCTAGGGAGGATTATCACCACAATGCTGTGAAAGGGAACTGAAGAAGGAAGGATTGCTTCTGTTTCCTTTGGAGAAGCTCTAGTCTTTGCTTTCACCCTGTGCTTCCTCTCCTGGCTTTCAGAGCAGACTCTTCAGTCACCACCACAGACCCTTCAGCCTTCCAGTGCAGACCCTCCAGCCTCCTGATACGGACTCCCAGAAGACACTACATGGAGCTCCAGGCCTTCAACTGGATCCTCCAGAGCCCCAGTGCGCAGACTGACCTTTTGTACTCTTCTACACCTAACTCTATGGGCAGCCATCGTAAGCCGATCTGTAAATTCTTCTATACTTGTATATCATGTATTATATCTATTTCTCTAATAAACACTGACTGATACATATGCATTTATGGTCTATTCATCTTTGATAAAATTTTCCAGAACACAGAATGTATACAGTCTTTTTGATAAATGATGTTGGGGAAACTATCCACATAAAAGAATGAAATTAGATTCTTATACCAAGTTTAAAAAATCAAGTAGAATGGATTAAAGCTGGGAGTGTGACACCTAAAACTGAAACTACTAAAAGAAAAATGGGGAAAGCTTAATATTGGTCTGAAAATGATTTTTTGTTATTTGGCCTCAAAAGCACAAAGCAACAAAAGAAAAATTAGGCAAATAAGATTGCATCAAAATAAAAAGGTTATAAACAGCAAAAACAAAATGATCAATACAGTAGAGATAACCTGTGGAATAGGAGAAAATATTTGCAAACTATATATCTCATGCAGGGTTTAATATACAAAATATATAAGTAACTCCATCTCAACAAAATAACTCAGTATTAAAAATGCCCAAAGGTCCCAAATAGACATTTCTCCAAAAAAGATAAATGGATAACAGGGTTATGAAAAATAGATAACATTAATTATCAGAGAAAGACAAATCAACACCACAATGAGAGGTCTTGCACTTGTTAGAATGGCTATTACAAAAAACAAACCAAAGATAACAAGTGTTGGCATAGGAGAAAAAGGAACTCTTGTACACTGTTGGTGATAGTATAAATCAATGCAGCCATTATGAAAAACAGGATAGAGAGTCCTAAAAAATTAAAAATAGATTTGTTGTGTGACTCAGGATATATATCTAAAGGAACCAAAATCAGTGTGGTGCAAAGAATCTGCACTCTAATGTTCACTAAGCACTACTCACAATAGTCAAGGAATCAACATAATAGATCATGATTAGAAGAATGAATAAAGAAAATACGATAGATATTATACAAAGAAGTATATTTCAACCTTAAAAACGAAAGAAATACTGTCATTTTCAACAAAATGCATAGACCTGGTTAGTATTAGACTAAGTGAAATGAGCCATGCACAGAAAGAAAAATATACAATCTTAATCATCTGTGGAATCTAAAAAATTCAAAAGCATTGAAGCAAATAGCTGAATCATAGTTTTCATAGTTTGGGAGTAGGGAAAATGAGAAGATGTTTGTCAAAGGACAAATTTTCTGATTAGGCAGAAAGAAAAAATTCTAGAGGACCAGGGATTTAGCTCAGAGGTTCCGCCGCCTGCCTCCCAAGCACAAGGTCCCAAATTCAATCCCTGGTACCAAAAAAAAAAAAAAAAAAATTCTGGAGATCTAATGTGTAGCATGGTGGCCATAGTTAATGCTATGTTGCAGTGGTGACAAACTATGGCCTGTGCTGCAGCTCACTGTTTGTTATCATTGAAAGCTCTATAAAGTTTGCTATCATTGCTATATTGTGTACTTGAAATTTGTTAAGAGAGTAATCTTAAATGTTCTCATCACACACATACACAAAGTTAACTATGTGAAGTGACATTAATTACCTTAATTATAATCTTTTCACAATGTATACCTATATCAAGACAAATTGTACACCATAAGTTTTATAATTTTTATTTGTCAATCATACCTCAAAACTGGAAAATATAGAGGAAAACTAACATAATTCTGAATTCAGTACCAATATTTTTCAGAAAACAAAACAGCTGTAGAAAGAACTTCAAAATTATCTGTTACTATTTATCTTGACAGTATTCTATCCAGATTATAGTTAATACTTATTTATGTATCTCGTATCTTTAAAGTGAGATTTATAATATGAGAATTATAAGGCTATTATAAAAAGTAAGCCAGAGGTTTTAAAAAAACAAACTAGCCACATTGTCATACTGAATACTAAAGAGCAAGTAAGTATCCTACCATTCCTAGAAGGAGAAAAATCAGAACATTAGTGATAGCTTTAATAGCTATCACATTCATTTATTTTTTTACAAATTCTGTTATAGGAAATTTATAATTAGTTATTTTTACTCCCTGATAAGTAGCCTATACAAGCTATTCAAATAAAATTTTAATTTTATTACTGAAATTTCAGGATTCTAATGCTGAGATTTCAAATACATATTTTAAGTAAACAAATATGCACAAAATACAGTAGCTTTTGTGCACACAGTTTTGTTGCTAATATTTGCAAGGCCAGATTGAGAGTTAAAATAGAGTTCTACACACTATATATCTAATATAAGGGATGACTCAACAAATTGTTTCCACCTCAGTGAAGACACCTTAAAGTTCTTATAATTCTTGGACGTTTTAGAAACTCACCCAGTGGGCAGTAACCCAGAGAGAGTTGGTCTCAGAGGACTCCATTCCAACTCTGACCTGTCCTCTCCCAAGGACAACTGACCCCAGCACCTACAGAAATGCCCCATCACCAGCCTTTGTATCAAACTTCCCAGTAACCAGGAAAGACCTGGAAGAGATCCTTCGGGTAGAGAAGGTAGGGAAGATAGCATAAGCTAGAGCAGTTCTCAAGCAAAAGGTCCCTCTTTCCTGGATTTAAGGGAACTTTTCTATGAGCATCTTTAAAATAGCCCCAAATAACTCCAAAAATGTTTTTATGAGGTTTTGTGTGCCACCTTGTGGTATTTTTATGAATATTTAAAGCCTTGATGTAGAAGGAAATAGAGATGTAGCAGGAGAAACATCTATTTTCCATGAGAACAACTTTCTTATTTTGAAAAGTTATTTTTAAACATGATTCAGTCATAAAAAGGATGAATTTCTAATTCATGCTACATGGGTAAACATAATCCTTGGAGACATTATGCTACGTGAAATAAGGACACAAGGACAGATACTGTATGATTCCACTTAAATGTGTAGAATAGGCAAATTCATAGAAACAGATTAGCCATTTTCAGGGATGGGGAAGGGGAAATGCGTATTTACTACCTTATGGTTGGAGAGTATCTGTTTGGCATAATGGAAAGTTTGGAAGTAAATGGTGATGTTTCCATAACATTATGGGTGTGATTGTTTTGTTTGTTTGGTTGGGTTTGGTTTTTAAGACAGGATGTCACTAAGAAGTTCAGGCTGGGGAACTCACTATGTAGCCCATGCTGGCCTCAAACTCACAGGATCCTCCTGTCTCAGCCTCCCAAGTGGTGAGATTAGAAGCGTGGGCCACCACTCCTGGATATATTTGTAATTATTACCACCAAATTGTATATATTCTTTTTGTACCAGGGATCGAACTTGAGACCTTGCGCTTTCGAGGCAGGTGGAGGCACCACTGAGCTAAATTCCCAGCCCTGAACAATTTTCACTTTTTTTTTTTTTTTT